CGATATTCCACACCTTCGTTTTTCTGTCAGAACTAGATATTTTATTAACAACAAATTCAGTTGTTCTAGATATGATGGTTCTTTTTCTCTTTTCTATGATAGGAAGTCTGATAATCCTAATATTCTCAGCATGTATTATCATGAAATGATATACGTATTCATATATTTTGATCACCATTGTCTTTCTTTTCCCTTATTTTATTCACAATTTAAGGTGAAAAACTACATTTATACATAACACAAAGAATGGCTCATTGATGACATGTGCTGGTTCATATGAAGAACAGTAAAAGAAGAAAAAATGAAGTGAATGCACATAAAGCACTTGCATACTTGCTCGTTGGGCTGTCACAGATGAATGCACATCAATATTCGTTTGTTACATGTGTACATAGCTAAGAGAGTGTGTCAAACAATTGACATATTTCTATTGTTTCTTTCTTAAAAATATTCATGTGATTTTTTTCTTTACTTCGAGTTCACCAAAAACAACAGGTTGGTTATGTGCTTGGTGCACGCATTTTTTCAAGACAAAAAATAACTTACACATGTAATGCCAGTGGGATGAGTATCTGAAAACCATGGAGTCATTTCACATTGTAAAGGATGATTAGCATCAAATTCATCAGATTGTGTGAAGAGATGGCGGAGTTCGCATGTCGTCTAGTCTGTCAGAATGTCTGGATGAGATGAGACGAAGAAAAAGAGGCAACTTTGTTGCTATATGCTTGAGCATTCGTTTACATTGATATGTCATAAACGATGGTGAGTCATGTTGTAAAGAAGAGAAATGTATTACACCATGTAATTCTTTTTGATTATGCCAAATAGACTACTTTTACATTTTTTATCAAAGTACTTATTAGGTTACATCGTCATTAGATAAGATTTTGTAGAGTTTATGTGTTGTGATGCAATAAAAAATTACACTCTGAGTATATGAATTCATAAACTCGATACATTTTGCTATCTTATCAAAAAAGTACATGATTTCGTGGATAAACTATTTTCAGTGGAAAGTTGTTTTTTCAGTGAATCAATATTCATTATCAACTCAAAACATGCTTCACTGAATCGAGCTTTCTGGATGCATCCGTTTCGCATATTTCAATTAACTAACAGCATGCAACAGGTCGGAAAAGTCTCCACGAGAATTTTATTTGCAAGATTCTGTCCACGACGATCAAACAAGAGTTTCGTTTGATTCTTCAGACAAACTCACAGAGTCCATGTATTGACAACTCTTATTCTTTATCTCATCTATATGCTTGTTAGGTTACCTCTCACTACAACATCATCGATCACACTTATGATGCCGTGATAGTAGGTGCTGGCGGTGCATTAGTCGAATATCTTAGGGGAAAAAACCACTAACGCTCCTTTGATGATCTCATTTTCCATTATGGTGAAGGAGAAATCCATCGAACATGCTGTGCCGCTGATTTCACTGAACATGCTATGTTGCATACACTTTATGATCAAGTAAGAATACTCTTCCTCAGCGGGTCTTTCACAATAATGCTAGGTTCAATATAATCACTGCAATATTATACGGATTATTATATCGTATATTTTTCATTAGATATATTAATGAATTCTGACAAATCACAGTGCATTGGTGTCATTGCTATATATCTTAAAGATGGTAGTCTTCATCGATTTCGAGAAAACAATACAATATTTGTCACTGGATAAGATATTTAATATTTGTTCGTTTTTCTTAACTAAATACCTTGTATAAAAACTTGGAAAAACTTTTTTGCTCATCAACATGTTTGGTTTATGAAAATATTGACTCATAAGTGGAATTTTTATAATAGTTGAACTTTCTGGAAACACTTAATTTCGCTGCACAGAAGCATGACTTCAAGTTGATTAAGAATGAAGGAAGGCAAACACTTTTTTGTGGTATTTTTTGTTTAAACAGAGGCTTCGGTCGAACTCCTACATGTAAGGATGACAGAAACGCAATGATTACTCAAGCTAGAGTGACAAATCAAGACATGACATTCGTTCAATTTCATCCTGCTGACATAAGTCTATGTGATGATCTTCTTCTTTTCATTGCAATCTCTCGTTTGCTTTTCATAGACTTGTATGGAGTCGGATGTCTCACTTCAGAAGCAATACGTACTGAAGAAGATTCCCTAGTTGTTACAGTGTATTCTCATAACATATACCTCGACCCTCTCTATTCTCTTCTCTTTGATATTTTCGTTTCTTTAACTTCTTTTCTTTGTCCTTGACTAACCTTTGTCTTCTTTTCTATTTTTTCCATGTTTTTCATGTGCGTATATAAACTCTTGTTTTGTAAAAGAATAAACAGAGAGAATAAACTACACGCACACACGTTAACTGTGTTCGTCGCTCTTCGTGAGCGAGAAAGCTAACACTAATCAATAGCATTAGAGAGTTATTCATATTGCGTCACAAGTCCGTAGGAAAATATTCGACTATACATAGCAGCACTTCTTGTTGTATCGCTATTGAAATTCATGAAGGCCGATAAGTTGTCGCCACTGTCTCATTGAACTTCAAAAATGTCGACACTCTAGTGATGTTGGTCGAAAAAAAGATTATGTCTATCTTCACATCTCGATGAGAAAAGACTTCAAAGATTACCAACTATCATTGAGACCGAAAGAACTTTTACTGATATCGATGTTAGAAAAGAACCCATTCTGGTCTTGCCCACAGTTTATTGCAACAGGGGCGAAATTCCAACCCACTATAAGGCTCAAATCATTCAAACACGAAACCAAGAAAATGATCGAGTAGTCAGAGGTTTCTATGTAGTAGGTGAAGCAGCATGTGTTATTGTACATGGTGTGAGCAGACTCGGTACCAGTTCTCTTCTCGATTTAGTGGTATTTTGACGAGCGTGTGCCAACAAGATTGCTGCAGCATGCATGTCAATCAGGCGAGAAATCGATTGATCTTCCACCGGTGAGTGCTATCAATTTAGGTCTTGGAGTTTTGAATAATTTTGTTATTAATTGAGAATGTGGATGAATCATCAATCGCCAATTCGGACCAACTTCGTCATGCCAATGGAACTATAACTACTGCTCAACTTCATCTTAAAATGCAAGAAGTACGTCTTTACTCTTGATTATTCATACTGTGTCATTAGTTTCAGAAAATGATTAAATATCAGTTCTCCGGGTTCTTTGACTCAGGATGCTTTAAATTTCCTTTAAATCGCATTCGATCATTTGTTTTTCAATTGGAAGAGTATCATGTCTCAACCAATCGATAGAGGCTAATTCTGGTGTTGCTTCAAAATCGTTTTTGTCTAAACTTTGTGCTCAAGAATTCTCATGATGTACAGAAAGATTCGATGGATTGTTTTGCCGAATAGACTGAGGAATACAAAGGTCTATCCTTTTACTCTAAGTTCATGAACAATTGTCCATTTCGACAATGCGAGACCATGCAGCTGTTTTTCACGATGGTTCAACATTAAAAAAGATTGCAAACTTATCGATGACAATCTTGTCGAAGAAAGAGACCTCAAAGTAGGAGAGCATATTTTAGTTTCCTTCAAAAATATCATAATTAACTGCGAACAGTTGACCAATCGCGGTCTTATTTCGAACACAGATTTAATCGAGGCACTCGAATTACAAAATCTTCTTCTCAATGCAATGCAAATCATCAATGCTGCTGAAACACGTCAAGAGAGCTGCGAATCACACACTCGAGAAGACTATAAAGTATCTTTTCACAAAAACTTCAATGTTTAGAAATATAATGAAGAATATTTTGCTGGAAAGATCGAATCGATGAATATGACTATTCAAAGTTGGTCGTAAAGTCGATTGAGCAATACTGGCACAAACACACGATGTTGTACACAAATCCCCAATCAGGGAAAGTGGGACGACCTCCATTTTGTAAGTTTCTAGCATACAGTACATCATTCGAATTGTGGACATCTCTGACGAACTGACCGGTCATCAACAAAACACTTGACGAAAAGAGCTATACATCTGTAGTACTTGGACCGTGCGATCGTCATTAGATTCTCTTCTTTTAATAAAAGTCTTCAAAAGACGTTACCCATGATCTTTATCTTGTGACTTGTCCCATTTATATTTAATTTGAACTGCTGTTTATTCTATTCACTGATCTAATATCAAAAATAAAAATGGCCAAAAATAAAAAAGTTGGACAATAAAAATGACGAAAGTTACCAATGCGTGTCTGCCAGTATAATTCAACTTAATCGATTCAATTGTCTATTATTTTTTCTTCTCTGTGAAGGTTCAGTCAATCAAAAAACAGGGTATATAATGTCAGTAGTATTCTTTTGCGTTAAATTTTTTTTCTGTCTAAATAACTTTTCTCTCTTGTTCTTCTCCTTTTATTTTATTCAATTATCAAGGTTCAAAATCAAAACAAATAGCAAGATCTATATATATATATATATATCAACACGTTTCATCCATTGCCGAAACAAAACAACATGACCTTTCGAAATCATTTGAAACAAATCTGTATTTTTTTAAAAACATTGTATTAAATGTACACTTCGCAGAAGAAAAGATCGAATTATGAATCTTCTTAGTTTCAATTATTTGCTTTTCAGAGTCAACGATCATTTTCTTATCCTGAAAAAATTTTAATAAATGGAACGACTAGACATGTATATAGGATCCCTTTTGTCTCCTCAATATCGATACTATATTCTGTCAGAATCAAACAAAACATAGACGTAGTCGTACTTTTCTTACATTTGAAACTTCTTTTTGAAACAAAAAGCAAAATAACAATAAAAAACGAAGCTTGGAAAAAAAGAACCGTGAATAGTTATAAATGAAAATTTGAGGATCAGAAGATTAATAATATATAGATAATTTATACTTGTTTTTGAAAGTTTAATTTTTGTAAATAAGAAAAAGTTTTGAAAGAAATAAACAATCATAAAACTCATATTTTTAGATTTTAGTGATCACATCATTGTAAATCAAATACGAAAGAAAAAGAAGCTGAATTAGTTAAATATTTAGTTTAAATCCTTTTTTAACAGCAACGATGTGCAGTAGTCGAGTTTTGCCGTCAAATGATAGTTTATTTTCATGCAAATCAAGCTGTTGTAATTTTTTATTATTGTTAAGCATCTTGTCCAGTGCTTTAACACATCTATCGTCTATTCTATTTCCGGTCAAACTAAGTATTTCAAGATTACTTTGATTATCAAGACAATTTGCCATTACTTCCATTCCTCGACTTTCAATATCATTATAACCAAGAAAAAGGTCTTTTAATGTATGATTATGACGAAGCATATCAGATACATAGGTAGCAGCCATATCAGGAATACAATTGGTTTGAAGCTCAAGTACTTCAAGTGTAGTATTAGTCAGTAATGCTTTAGCTAAGTACTCCACGCCCTTGAGTCCTGCTCGATTACCCTTAAGAGAAAGTCGTTTAAGTACAACATTGGATCGTAATGCATTAGCTAAGAGTTCAATGCCAGTAGTTTCGATGAAATTATTGTTTAAATTTAATACCGAACATTGTTTCATAATCAATGCTTTGCGAATAATAAAAGGTACATCAAAATTATCTATTCGCGAATCATTGAGCATTACAGTGGAATAAGAATGACACCGAGAAAGTACTTCTTCAAGACGAGGATTATGATTCACATTGGGGCCTAAAATATGAAAATTCTAAAGAATTTCAAATCATAATTAACCATTTTATTAAGTTTTCGTTGAAATAGAGATATTCGATACAAGGCTATTAGTACAATCCTTGCGGGATAAAATTGTGAAGCACGATGTAGATGCTTTAACTAATCACACAGAGATGGCTTTATACTGTACATCGTGGGAAACATTTTTTCATCATTCTTTTACTTAATCCTGCAGAAATGCAATAAGGAAGTAGTTAATATATTGCAACTAGCCGTGATTGGTATACGATCTGTGATGAGTAACCAGAGTGTCTATCATGGTTTTTTGGAAGCTGAGGAGTGAGCGAAGGGGAATGGACCCAAATTTCTATCGTATATATTTTATTTCAGCATACCTTTTAGATCGTGACTCATACAATAACTTACTTGAGAGAATTTGCATCAGTTGCATTCTGTCGTTAAGTTGGTTACACATGCCTTGTCGTTGGGCATCGGTATTAGTCAATTTTTGTAAGCTGATTGCTTTTTCGGCACAGAAGTTTTCCAGTAAATTAACTTGATCTTTTAATCGATCGTTTTCGATTTGAAGTAAATTAACACGATTTTCATGTTCTCTAGTTTGATTTTCATATTGTCGAACCCTTTCAGTGAGGTTGTTCATTATACTTATCAAGTTTTCACAGAGTGGTCTCATCATTTCATAAGAGCATATAGTAACATGAGCTTGAAAATTATCTCTTGGTCCCTGCCAAGGACATTTGAGATCTGAAGCTGAGCAGGAAACAAAAGTTTTTAAACAATATTTATTCAAATGTTCATCAAAATTGCTTCGTTGAATATTTGATTGTCGACAAGCTTTACATCGAACTTGAAGACGATCAAGTATATCGAAGACAACGCGATTCGTTGCTCTCAAACCTTGTATTGATATGGGTTTCTTGCCACATGCGGGACATCGATCATTTTCCTCGATCCACTTTGTAATGCAAGATCGGCAAAAAGTATGATCACATGGTGTCGACGAAGGATTTACAAAAGGATCGAAACAAATAACACATTTAAGGCTAATATCGATTGATGATTCATCCATGTATTCATAATTCAGTGTCATTCCTTTTGTTTTTATTTTGAATAAATCTGAAACATATGAAATAGATAGCAGAATACTTGTGATATTCATTATTTATTCGCTCTTTTATTTGAATTTTACATTAATAAAATATATTATGCCTTACACACAAAAAAAATTATTTTCTCTTTTACTCAATTCAAATAAATGGCAAACCCTGCTTTACTTACATTTTTTCATATATTTTTCTTTCTGTGCTTTCTCTCTAAAACGTAATGATGAGTCATCAACGCCTACTTCCGACATCGTCATGCGAAATCTTTGATTACTAATATATCCATCAAGGAATTTTCTTTTATAACATTCAATTGTTACACAGGTCCAACATCAATGCTGATCCTTGCGATATTATCGCAAAAACAAAAAGAAATAACGTAGTTTTCATGATAATATGAATATTAGACGTCGAAATTCATTCATATTGTTTAGAATAAATAAACAATTCATTGAGCTTCATGTTGGTATAGCTGCTATTATTTCACTTGATCAATACAGTTGATCATTACTTTAGATTACGACTATGAATGCGATCATCATTGATATGATTACAATCAATTATTCCATTAAGCTTTGCTCTGGTTGTTGTCTAGGTTGTCAACAAGCTGAATATTTCAACCGTTTTCAATAGGCAACGAATTTTGAGTTTTCAGAATTAAAGCCAATTCCTAACATTGTTCACTGATTTAAGTTATGTAGGTAAAAGAAACCTCAAGTGAATAGGCAGTTTCTCCTTGAATGTTTCCTTACACGATTCAATAAAACGTGCAATTTTGACAAGAACGACACCAACTTTGACGGCCACTCAACACCCACACTCGAGAATTAACTAGAAGTTTCTTTGTGGTATATCAATAATTGCCCAAATCCTGGAAAATTTCCTTCTGACGTCTTGGTAAGTTCTGAAAATTTCCAATAAATTTCTGCATTTTATATTTTATTGATTCTGTGTAGCCTGTAAGAATTTATAGTAATTTATAAAATTTCTCTCTCAGGCAATCTGAACATATCTCTCGCTAATGCAACAAAGCGACACGTGTAGACTTTCTTGTAATAAAATTCCCATTGAATGAGTACTCCAATTCGTTCGTACGAATGACGTCGTTGATTTGTTGATAAAGAAAACAGCTAAAACAAGAGACACTGCAGTTGAAGAAAAAAAACAGAAAGAAAAAAAAAAAAACTTTTTAAATATAACACATGTTTTTTAACTTAGCTTATTCTTTTTATTATTACATGATAGTGTGTATGTCACTCCTTTATTTCCAGTGAGAAAATATGGCTTCATCATCATCGTCAACATTATTTTCTTCCAACAGTGAAGAAGACCTGACATCAGAAAATGCTGAACCATCTGCTTCCAATAGAGATCAGGTACAGTTAACTATCAGTAACCTAAAACAAGTGATGAACAAACGAATTGTGATTAAACAGGAAGTGCAAGATGTCGCAAGTAGTACAAATGTGAATGTTCAATCGAATAGTAGTAAATCACTTTCTATGTCAATCATTCTACTAGATGTTGTTTGTAGACGTTATCAATGACTCTTCTTGTCCCAATCTATTACCGCCAAGTACTGTCAGTCATTTTGAACAATCAAGTGATAATGATTATCAGATGTCTGTATCCGTCGACGACGAAACAAGTGAGAAGACTGAATAAAAAAGTGATCTATTCAATTTTCTTGGCTATTTAGATGCTCTTCTTGAGCAAGGACATTCGACTGTGAATAAAGTCCTTGAAAAAACAGCAGGTGAAACTCCATCAGTCTTGAATACAATTGAGCAAGCTGTTCTCCCCACGATTAACAGAAATATCTCAGAAAACTATGCAACAACAGCCAGTAGTAGTGTTGAACCGCATAATGCACCGACAACACGTATACAGACGACATAATTTGTATCAAAGCCATTTTCTACTGCTCCGTTACATATATTCTAGAATCCCAAACCAGTGCCATAACTGAAGAAAACAGTCAACAGCAATTCCAGAACCAAAAGCACATTATGATAAGCTATAATCAAGCCACAGCATCAAATGTCTGCCAGAAAATCTATGATGGTCTAAAGGTAAGTCGAAAGAAATATCTGAACAAATAAATTCTCCGAAATCTACGGGGTGTCCGGAAATTCATCTACCAAAAAGAAAATTAAATATCTCCATTACGGCTCGAGCAAACGAGGTGATTTTTTTACCAATAATAGAGACATGTTCAAGCTTCATATCAATACCGACATGCCTAGACAGATCCTCTGTTAAGTATACTGCTTTTTTTTCTATCTGTGAAAAAGTAAATTTTTTTTGTTGAGGCCAATAGTGATACTTAACAAAGGATCTCCCTGGGCATGTCTTTATGAATATAAACTTGGTACATGCCTCTCTCACTGGTAAAAAGATCAGCACGTTTGCTCGAGCCATAATGGAGATGTTCAATTTTATTTTTGGTAGATGAATTTCCAGACACCCAGTATATCTGTTAATCTGCATTAATAGGAGAGAAATTATAACGTATGGTTTGACAAAGAACATCTACATGGTAGTATACTTGATGGAATGGGTAAAGCAGTTGATAATTCATATATCCTTATTTTATGCTTGAACAATGGGTACTCAAATAGTAGTTTTTGTTTAATGGGTGAGTCATTAATGTTTGCTAGGTTTCATTGTATTAATCATAGAGCCTATTCTCAGAAGCTAAATACGCGACCGAAAGAAGAATTCCCATAATTCCATGCATCATGGAAGAAGGATTTCGTCCGTTCGGAGGCCTTGGTATTATTAAAAGTGATCGAAAACACATTGAATTTTTCAACGAGGATAAATTTGACGAATCATTCGAGAAATTAATCCATGAAATCAATTGTATTGAAAGAGAACCAAGCATGATATCAAGTAAATGACATTTTTTCCTGTCGATTCCTATACACTTTTGTTTCATTTTGTTGAATACAGCAGTTACTCCATCTACACAAACAAATACCAATCGAGGAAATTCGTTAACAACAACTACTTCGTCATCTTCCAATAATGTGAACTTTCATGATCATTGTAATGCCATCATTTCTGACCATATCATATCGATTCAAAAAAGCCATCTTCACCGGAACAATCTCAATGAAAACGAATTTAGAAAAGTTTTACATTCACTTATTCAAGAATTTTCTCCTGAAACTTTGCAATCGTTTCAAAATAGCCAATCCAACATTGTTGAAGATAAGCAACCACAACAAAGTGACAGTGATCATCTCATACAACATCTTCTTCAATGTAATGAACAATTAGCAAAAGATGTTCGGATTCAACAAGAAAATTTTGCTAATATTCGACAACATCTTCTCAATCAAGACGATCGATTAGCAGCATTTATCCGTTTTCAACAAAGGCAAGAACAAAATAATGCCCATCTTTCCCAACATCATATCAATCAAAATGATCGATTGACATCAATCATTCGTGTTCAACAAGAACAACAACAAGATCATGCTTCTCTTCAACAATATTTTTTGAATCAAAACGAACAATTAGTTCAGATTAATCGTAGACAACAAGAGCAAGAACTCAATCATCATTTTTCAGAACAACTTCTGCAACATGTTGATCAGTTAACACAACTTTTTATTAATCAGCAGCAGCAACATGCCAGAAATATTGAGGCTTTGCATCAACTGGTAAATCGATCATTCGAGAGAAATAAATCGTTAGAAACAACTATTGATCAGCATTTAACATCGCAAGATAGACAAATACCTACAGAAGGTCATTTCAATTTCAATTTCAATACATTAAACAAACTGATTCAGACTATCGTACTTTTATGGACATTGATTATACTTTTAAGGAATACATGAACATTCCACTTTTCGTTTTATATCTATTTGGGTGTGGGTGTGAATGTCAAAGGAAAAAAGCCTCACTGATGTCCACTCCACATTCTCATTCAAAACAATTTTAATATAGAGTTGAACATCGATATATTCTAGTTGCTTTCATTGTTTTGTGATTTTTATCGAAATTTTCTTGTACTTTTTTGTGAAACAATTAACACCACTTCTCCAATTACATTAACTTTTTAGTGAACCGAAGAAAATTTTTCGTATGAATGACACCAGTTGATCAATTGATAACCTGCAAATCTTCTTTTCATGAATAATCTTTTGATAAGTATCGCTAGAGATGCGAATCAAAAAAGTCGATCACAATACTTTTATACTTTTCATAGATATGTAAATTAATCTTTTCTATAGCATCCTCAAGATTTCCTGCAGAAATACGTTGATGAACGGTTCGTTCATTTGACTATCATTACTTCAATTATATTTTCGTTTTGATTTTCCAAAAATGTACCTTAATTCGGTGATCCATCCTGCCTGAAAATTATTTTGTTAGCTTCTCTGACAATGTTTTACTCTTTTGAAAACTATTCAATCAATTATGACATTGGATTCATCAATTTTTGTAATTTATCTTTGATAGCATTGAAAAACTTTTCCATTAGTATTGTACTTTTGAGCGCTTCTGAAAGACTTTTGATGACTTCGAATTTTTCTTCTCACGCAACTTTTCCTATGCTCTAGGTGATGCCATCTATCTTTCCTTGATGATTTACCAATACATTCAAATTACTATTTGGGCAAATGATTCTGCCGTGTTAATATATTCAATATACGCATTGACAACATCACAAGTGCTTTGTTCAATTTGATTTTGCCATTGGTGGCATTGATTATGAGAATCGATGAAGAATAATACTTTCTCTAACATTACTTAATACTCCGGATCTCTGTCTATCATAGTATCTGTTACCGATTCAACATAACTAGCGACTTCTTTTTTAATTTGTATCAGTAGATAATTATTCAGCACACAATAAGCAGAATAATTTAACGATTCTCTAGCAAACAGTTTTAACTCAATCATTACTGTTACTTATTTACATTTTAGACGCAAATGATTTCTGGCAATATTTTAAGCAACATATCCGCCGATTGTTTGAAAATTGGCACTACTGCTTTGGATAACTTCTTAAAATTGTTCCCATTTTAATGATGTAATGCAGATATCCATCGTTGTTTCATTACTTGCTACGCAACGAAGCAGTGTTTTATCCAACATGAGGACGAAGAACACAGTATCTCTCGAAAGATTGGTTTGCTCCTCCTGAAATTCGTAGTTATTATACAACGTATTATATTCTTGTACTGCAAAAAATAGATGTGCACCTCTCGCAGTTTTAAATTGTGTCTCTGAAAAAGAATGAAATCTGGCTTAAGCACTGAAGGCAAAAAAATCTAATAACATGATAAACAACATAAGTGCATACATCCAATGATCTATTTCTCGTTCACTATCTAAATGGTTACTCCTTCATTAGTCCATCTGTTGTCTGCGAGATGAGGAAGAAAAAGATAAAATGAACATACAGACAAATATTTATTACTTCTGGACTGGAACACATTGTCATTGTTCGATATGATATTTTAGAAAATCAACACATTGAAAAGATTTCAAGACAAGAGAATGAGAGTGGCGAGCGATTTTCCTTTTTTCTTACATTGTGAAAGACTTTCATGTTTGAAAATGTTCATTCTTCACTTTTGAAGAAACCGAACGGAGCGCTTTGTAGTTTCCATCTCTTAACAAGTCTTAAAAACTAATGAAAATAGTAATCTATCGAAGGATTCTCAATTGATGAACCATCGATCATTTCATTGCTACAGTTTTAGTCATGAATAGGCGGCAATCGTGAATTTTCTACGCCGTTGAAGCGTGTGCATAATTTACTGTCCGTTGATTGTTTTGAAGAAGAGAAATGAACAAATGAATATTTATTGCAACAATCAATATACTGTTAGAATTTTAAAAAATTTCAATAAATATATGAACAAATAATGAAAAATGAAGAGCGATGACTGTTTAACTTATTGATAGAATTTGAAGAGATCTCAGTCCAGCAGCTTTCTAGAACGCTGAAATATCAATACGACTTTTATCATAACGTTGCCACAATTTTATGAAACATTCATCTGTTCTGATTTTATGTTTCCAACGGAATGTAGTCGAAACTCCATGTCATTTCGCATTCTTGCAATCAGTGCTAACGATTATTCTTCTGGCAGTAAATCAATCGTAATGTAGATGTTGAGATATGCAGAATTTATGTGTTTTTTTTTATTCGATAATGTTGACCTCTCAAATAATTAATAGTACGTGGTGTTATGTTACATTTGGAACATTTACTGGAATATTGTTCCAATAGTACAGTGATTGTGGCAGTGACTACTCATTTGTTCATTTTTCTTCTTCGAAATAATCAACGAAAAGTAGATCCTGACGCAAGAAAAACACTAATTTGAATAACTTTTTAATATAATCAACCGACAGTGAATTCTCAGCAACAAAATAATATTTTTTTCGAGAAGAGAACTAACTAAAATTGAAAATTAATCAACGGACAGTAAATTGTATTAATTCGTTGAATATTATTTTAGTGATAATGGATTACACATACTAATTTCAATTCCATAATCCTATTTGTAAGTGAAGGTTACGTAAATTGATTTAAACTTTTTATAAAATTGATTAAGAATAGAATACCAAACTTATTTTAGATTTCTCACTTAGATTTTTATATTTATACGTATTATATACATGATCGCTTTTACTCAATTATAATTTTAACGTAGGGGCTTCACTCATTTCTTTTGATTGGTTTTTTATTTCAACCTATCCACAAACACGAATAGGTTAGCATTTTTCCTGTCGTTGTGTTGATGCATGTATATAACATTTATGTTTGATTATTTTTCGTTGTTTATAAAATTTAATTAGATAGATAATAATTATTAAATATTTTTTTGTTTCACTTTATTACTAATTGAAATTTTTTTTAAAATGTTTATATATTTTCTTGAATAAATATATATTTGGCTCTTTTCAGTTGATCCTATACTCTATTATGGGCGACTTACATTATTTAACCATCTGGTAAATGTTACTTATACGTAATATACTGTTGTACTGACGTTCGTTTAGTTGTTCTGTTGATTAACCTTCTATCGCTCCATCTGTGTTATTTATATATTTTCATCCATTGTCGCCAGTACTAATTTTTCCGGAAGCGATTATCCAAATGAGGTAACTTAGTTGTAAATTAATAAACTAATGAACAATATTGTGAATTCATATCAATATATAAGATAGATGTTTATCTTCATCTCAATTTGAACGATTGCATTTCCATCTTTTATTCATTCAATCTAGTGCTGTTGTCTCTCTTCTTTCATTTGCTTTTCGTTCTTTTCTCGTTCAATTTCATGTGCACGTTCGCCCTTCATCTAAGTTCCCTTCCCACTTGATTATTGCATTAGTTAACATTTTAAGGATGAGATTGTGAGTGTGAAAGAAGCACAGAACATACATACATACATACATACATATATATATATATATATATAACTAAAAACGAAGAAGAAGAAGAAAAAAAATGTCCTTATGTAATCCACTCTTTTTGACAAATTGTCTAATGTTCATTTATGCTTGTTCAAAGTATATCTCATCTTTTCTTCTGCTTCATCGCACGCTTGAACTTGAACACTCATTATTCTTCGCTCTTGCTATAATAAATACACATATTTCATTTTCAAGGGTTTCACATCTACTGTATATTAATAGTTATAAGCATAGAATGTTTTCTATCCAGAAAATGCATCTTATACGGTGAGAAGTCAGTCAGCATGTGTTGATTTCTTAATGATATGTGTGAATATACAAAGCATATAATGATATAAATAGAGACGATTCATTTGCATAAATGTCACAGACGGAAGATGCCTTCTTTTTTCATTTGCTTTTCTAGAAGATTAATCATTTGACAATTCGACGCCATTATCAAAGACGACGACGAAATGCCACAGTCGTTGTTACTACTTATATTCAATAGTAAGTTGAGATTATTATTTTCTTATTTAAAAAAAAAATAAGTGGACATTAATATGAGAGTCTCTTGATTTCATTTTGGTCGTTCGATTGCTGTATCAAATTATCATGAGAAAAAGAAAATATCAATGGCAAACATATTAAATTAATATAATTCCCACTTTAAAATAAGTAGACATAATATACTGTTGTAGCGGAAATCTTGTCTTAAGTTTCATAATTATCTAGTATTAAAAAAAAGAATATCAAAAGAATAATTCATTAATATTCGAAATGATAATTTGTTGTCATTTTCTCATAGTCAAATGTAATTTTGATTTGATTATAAATAAATATATATATAGAATATGTCATTAAAAACTCAATCGGTACAATCGAATTTTAGGAAAAATATCAAAGAAGATGAACCTAAGCTTTTATTCTATTTTAGTTTGTTTTGTATTCATTTGTATTGATCGAACAGTTTCAATCCATGACAGTCCTATTCTTCAACTATCTGTTTATCCAAATTATGGTTTTTTACCTGAAAATATTGAAGTTCGTTGTGAAATAATTGAACCATCAAAATATGATAATATTTATTTATCAGTTAAAACAGATTATGTTAAACCGTCAGGCATAATTCTTATGGTTGATAATACTATCAATCGATGTCGAACGAATAAAAAAGAATATATCAATGTTAATATTTGTAATTCATCATTAATACTTATTTATATCAATCATACAATTCTTAATGATACGCTTGAAAAAATAGATTATGTATGTAGTCAAGGTGGAGTCAATGCATTAAGTTCATATCGAATATTAAGTAGGAAATAAAGGAATATTGTACAAAAAATAAAAATATTTTTTTTTTCGAATTTAATTTAGAAGACCCCACAGCACGCTATTATGATTTGATATCTAACAATTCATCATCTACATTGATACACACATTTTTTCTATTATTATCTGCTCTCCTAATTGCAAGACTAACGACAATAGAAAAACTTCGATGATCGTTACAGCAATAAAACATTTATTGGCACACTGTGCCGGTCTCTGTGTGTGGGTGTCAACCTGTGATAGAAAGGATTTTATTCTTATTTTAAACATTGAAAATTCACATTTTACACATAAAAAAGCTATTTTTTTTTTGTGTTTACTTCTAATTTCTTTCTTATGTATTTATCTTCATCTAGAAAGAATTTTCATAGTTATTTTATTCCAAAATTTCCTTTGTAATATGAAACTAACCTTGTTAGATATGGATGTATTTAGACAATAGTTGAGAATGAAAATCACTGAACATATCGCTTGTTTGATTATTTTGTTTTTGCCGGTTCATTGTTTTTTTTGTTTCTATGCTTTTCCTCATATAAGTGAATAACTAATTAATACTCATGTATTCTTTTTTTTTCATTTTCGTTTTTGAAATATACATTACCTCTGACTGATAAGCAGAGAAAAAATATTTTACTTTTTTAGAAAATAACTAATGGATGGTGAGAAAGTTTCTGGAAAAGTATCGCTTTATTTTTCATTGGCGAAAGCATACTTTGGTACAATCGAGATTACTTATTTCAGAGCTCTTGCCATTTTTCAGATCGATATTTGTACTCGTCCTTATTGTAAGTCAGTGATATGAGGGCTTTGGTGCATTTGTATTGATAGTATCATAGATATCGTGTAATCATCGTTTCATATATTTTCATAAAAGAGCTTTATTGCAAACGTATAAAACTCGTATCTAAATGTTTTTTTGAAGATTTGCTCAATGCTCACAAAAAAATCTAATAAAATGTTTTCAAACACACAGTCAGAAAGAGCTTTTAACATATATTCTGCAATAAGAGTTCTTAATTTTTCCACAATATATTTTAGTCAATGAAAAATGAAACGATATTTTTCCAAGAACTTTTGCATCACCCGTTCATTGCACTTCAATATCACAATGTGGGGGTAATGCTCAAGTATTTTTTCGAATTCGTCAACACATGCTGATCAATGTTGTTTTCTTTGCATCTATGCAATTCATCAATTCGCAAATAAAACGAGCACAAGGGTGTCGTGTTTGCAAATCACAAATTGTCGACAATTTAGCACGTAATGAAATATATTATATATCAAAGAATACTGATTTAAAAGTTATTGTAGAATCAAACTATTTATATTATCGAGAAGAATCATGTGAACCACAATATTACACTCGTATTCGTGTTTGTGTATAATTAAAAAATGCTGATGCATCATTAATCAAATACTATTTAAAAAAAAGATTATGTATAATTTTATCTTGTTGAAATGATTCCAGATTTAAAAACAGAGTGGAGATCAATAACAACAACAAAACCGACATGGTAAAGGCAAGAACAAAAAACGTTAGACATTCCATAATGGAATCTTCATTTACTTTCCGCTTTTATTGTTATTTTATTATTTAAAAAAAATATATGTATCAGTTTCATTCGCATAGATGATATATTTATCTTGCCATCATTTTGCTTTTCGAAACTTTTAGAATGCGAGCAATCGTTGGGATTTGAGTTAATTGGATATTTTCTTTTGTCAAAAATGAAATATTTGCTGAATTCTCCTTGATGTTTCTCTAACGATGTGAAAAAGTCTAAACTAAAACACTTAAAGTAATAATCCTTTTTCTTTCAGATGACTGTGCTACATGTCGGTCTGCATCGAAATTAATTGGATTCATTGTCATTCGAAGATTTAACATTCACAATTTATTAATTGTAATCTTTTTTCACTGAATATCTCACGTAGTTAAGTATTTTTGATATCTTCAAACCACAAGAAACGAGTCGAGATCAACTTAAACTCTGGCTTTTTTTCGTGATTATAAAACTTCAGAAACATATTAATCAAATATGATTGGTTATTAAGAAATTCAGTTGATGTCGTTCACAAGATTCTAGCGTCAAAGAAATCATTGAGTCTGAAATGATTCGATAGTTATTCTTAATACATATCTAATCTAATATTTCTGACTTTTCCTTTGTAAAACCGCTTATTATGACATGCTGTTGTACTGGTTGCTCAGAAAATTGACTATACAAAGTATAATATATTTCCATGATCGTCCTTTGTGATTTGGGAGAAGAAAACATTGAACGAATAGCTTATTGTGATTTATAGGTAGAATATTCTGCCAGATTTTTTTTTTCTTCTTTAATCCATTTTGACTATTTCAGAGCATAGGAGAAATCAACTCTGTGTCAATCTGCTAAAGGACAATGACCGTAACTAATCGATACAACATTGAAGCATATTCCCATGTGCAGCAAAATTGACCAGCTGCTCTACGTTAATAATAATATTTTTTCAGGAATTATTGTTATGATTTCAAATAGAGTAAGCAATAAATTTTATGTCAAATCAAATCGTGTCAAAAATGGGATTTATCAGTATTAAATAGTAAGAGTTATGGAAGCTTTTCAACGTCAACTTCAGAAAATGTCTACAGTATTACGCCCTATCGGCATAGAAAAGTTTCTATCGTTAGGCAGCTCGAACAAGATCTAATTTAAAACGATGAATATCAATAAGTAACATTTTTAAGGTTCAATGAATACAAGTAATAGCCGCAATGACGATTATGAGCGTCTTTTGTAGCAAACAGAGGAGATGGATATAAAAATAAAAGAGCTACGAATAAATCAATGTTAGCTTCCATGTTTGTCAAAACAACTAAAACGGTTTTTTTCAGAGTTCTTCGGTCATAACGATTATGTTTCATCTCTGATAGGATTTTTTAGCTTCATTTATTATTCTTATTCCAATATTTCCTGGATAGATGCCTGCTAATTGCTGCAGTTCAGAATTTTGAATTGGATCTAGTTTGAACTGTCTTATGATGGGAATTTTTCTATGTCAATAAAATCTAAATTGATTGAAATTTCTTGAAATCAACATTGAAAAGTTTTGATAACCCCTACTACCCAGTCAGACAAGCAACGAATAATAATGCGTAAAAGTGTGTAAAAACCGCATATTTTACGATTTTTATTTCGTTAGAAATTTAACGCGTTTTTACGCGTTTTTTTGCTGAAATAAGTGATCTTTTAGGGGACTAACAGCTATAATCCGTAGTCTTATGTTGCTTGATGAATTATAAGCAACCTAAGTCTACGGATTATAGCTGTCATTCCTCCAACAGGTCACTTATTTCAGCAAAAAAACGCGTAAAAATGCGTTAAATTTCTAACGAAATTAAAATCGTAAAAATGTGCGGTTTTTACGCTTGTTTACGCATTATTTTTTGTTGCTTGCCTGCCTGAATATCTCCTTAATTCTAGTATGTCCATCCTGGTCTTATTTCTGTTAACTTTCTCATTCGTTTCAGTGGACTATTCAATCAATCATTTATTCTTTATATTATAGTGTAATTTTTGTCTTTCACTCATAATAGTAATCGTTTTTTTTTCTTTGTGGTCTTTTCATTTAAGTTTATGAAATTGCAACGTACAGTAAACCCTTTAACGATTTATGAATATCATAAACGCTTCCTTAAACCTTTCCACAAGTGATATTTGAAGATCATGAACCTTTTCATATACTCTTTCGAAAAGATTTACAAAGATTTCATAAGCGTTAAAAAAGCATGTTTTTCATACGTTGTACTTTCATAAATCCTTTAAAAGTTTATTATTCTACGGCGTTTTTGCAGAATACACTGAATACATGCTAGAATTTCCTTGCAAAAATATTCTTTATGAAATGTTCTGACTTTTCATCTTTGAATAAATTAACTTCAGAGTAAATGTCCCTGAAAAATTATCCTTACCTTGATGGTTCACCGAACAGATGTATATTATAATTGAAATGCCCTTTCAGTAAAATACGCACAACGCTCAGTGATAATATTATTCATGTAGTCTAATTTATTATGTCGCATTCAGTTTTATTCATTTTTGATTTATGACAAAACATAAAAATTCACGCAATAACTCTTCCTTGTGTGCGTAAAAATAAAGAGCAAATTCCAACGTACACATCCGCACCGACCCTTCTTGTACCTTGATTTTTTCCCTTCACTCTTATCATTCCAGTTGCATTTTTCTTATCTTGCTTATCATCATAGACATTTTTATCATGTCCACCTATATATACAGAACGTAGTTTCACAATAAAAGACGTTTCGATCACGAATTCATCTTCTCTTATCTACAGCGTTAGCGTCTTCAGAGAGTTGCATCCTCTACAAATACTACTACTTGTTCAACTGCTCTTGTCAAATACTATATGTATAATGTCATCATCTTATTTCTTTCATTCTAGTTTCTTATATTTATTGACAAAGTGCAAACAATAGATTACTATCTGAATTACATGAAGAAATTCTTGTTCTCTTTCAAGTAATCTTCAAAGCTGTTGTAACAATTAATTTTACTATATTATCTAATTATTATTAGTATGTAACACTCTGCAATGTCCAAAAGGCAAAGGAAATTCTCAATCAGAATGATTGGAATCTACAGGTTAGTGATTCATCAGCTTTGTATATTTACATCATAGGAGTTGATTTGTCAATATAAGTTTGTCAATACATCTAGTACATGAACAATCAATCGATATGAACAACATGATATGTTGAGTTAGATAGCGAAATATATGACGATATTCTTCATCATAACATTAAAGAGACATAGAGTGATTATCAGAATGAACTAAACTAAAATTATCCCATTCGATATTTACTCTTCACTTGTAAATTGCTTCGCATGTCTAGAGACTAATCAGATGTAACATTTTCACGTTAGAAAAAGACTCTTAGTACACTTTTGAAAAATTTTTCACACTGAGCATGTTACTTCACAATAAAGAACAACACAATAGTGGAAAATTGTCCTACAGAAAAGTGTTGAGTGGCTCATGGTCATTCTGTATCATACAAAAATGGTTTTAGAGTCGGTTTCTCTGATTCATCACGTTCCATCAATAATTTTTGTTATAATATTCACCACTGTATAGAAACGTTCCATTAATTTACAGCTGAAGAATAATCACTGTAGCAAAGAGTACTTTGAAGAATAGACAATAGTAAACACTGGCTAGCACAACTTCAGGAATTTATACAAAATCTCATTGCAGAAAAAAACAGATGTCGAATCGCCATTTAACGAAATATAATATGCTGAACGAAATACATATTACTCTCAAGTTTATAGACTTTAAAAAATTTCACATTGTTTTCTGTCAGCACAGTCGTCACCGCGGTTGAGCACAAATTCGACAAGCTTGATGCGCAACTCTGCAATTCGCTCTGCAATTGAAGCCATCCTCCGTCCGTGAACCCAGAAATCAATTGTTTCCGATTCCAGTTTGTTCATTGTTGATACAGTCCCAAAGTGTCCTCTGTCGAATACAGTACAGATCAGAGATCTTTATTGCTAATTAGTAGGTTTATGAAAACCGACTTTTGAAAATCCTAACAGTAGAACTTCGCTGTAACTTACTAAAAATATAACTAAGTATTCTTATGATTGTGATAATTTCATGTTTCCAAGATGTATCGAAGAACTTATATGAATTCTCTCAATCCATTAAGCACCGTTGAATTCTGTTCCAATTCATTTCAGAAATAAAAATTATGGTATATTCAGAATATTGCATTATACAATGTTTTGTATTTTTCTCAAAAAAAGTGCAGAATCATCCCTTTTTTCCCGACATATTATGCTAGATCGAGATGAAACATTTTCTACACATACTAGACACTATTTGAGATATGTCGTTTTTTTCTGTTTCAAGAAATTTTGTTCTGCTGAGGTACAGCAGATCTGCACTCCAATCGAAAAAGAAGCTCTTTTAGGGTGCGTACTGTCCTATGAAGTTTTTATTTAACAGAAATAAGGTGAAAAGAAATTAAAAAGTAGCACTCCTCAAAAATCGTGTGTCTAGTTCCTGTGAAAAAATGTTTCAGCACGATCGGACGCAGTAGTTTGAAGAAATGAGAGTGAAAAGTGGGATCATTTTTAGCTCTTGTTATCTCTATATCTGATAGAAGAGAGCATTGCGCCAAACCGAGTCTTACACAACTTTCACTCTACTTCTCACCATTTATGTAAGCTGAAAGTTTTACAGTTTTTCACTAAGGCATTCTTGAGAAACTCCAAAAATGGGGACTAGGAACAGTGTCTTTTACCTGAATCTATCTCTTCGATGATCCATTTTCCACTTGTTCGCTATGGAAGTGGCATCTTCTCCCGTCATGACATTTCCTTTTATTTGTTCTTTATACGAACCGAAATAGTGTGCTACATTGCAGAGAAGCGTCCCAAGTATTTCATGGTTCTTTGCCATCGATAGAAGAGAATAGGATGTATCAATAATTTCGTATCCCGTTAGACTCTGCTATCTGACTGTATTTTTCTATCGAACTTATGTAAGATACAAATAAACATTTATGTGTGTACTTCTAAAGAAATATAATCTTTCCTTCTTTTTCAGCAAGCCATTACAGACTTTTTTGACAGCGACAGTATGTATATCGGATATTTCTTTAATATTTAATCAAAAGATTTATTTATATTTAGACTTAATTAACAGTGAGAAATCAAAACCAGTGTTGACTAGCATTATTATAAAGCAAGAAAACGGTCAATGTCGTGCCGAATACTATCGAGCACTCGAACAGAAATTAAATGGAGATAAAATAGCTGTAGAAAAAGTAAATATCTAATTACGCTCATACAAAAATAACAACTTTTAACACTTTGAAAATTATCAGAAAATGGCTGGTATCAGAATTATGGGCGTGCAGAAATGCATTGGAATAGCTGCTCACAATACAAAACGAGTAGAACTGTTGGAGTGTCTTGCAAAACATCGCAATATACTTCTTAAACACAAGTTATATGCCACAGATTCAACAGGAGAGATGGTCAAGACACAACTGAATGTACCTGTAACACAGTTTCGCAGTGGTTCCTTAGGTAGCGGTCATCAGTTGGGAGAAAAAATCGCCTTAGACGAGCTTGACATTCTCATTTTTCTCACTGATCCGCTGAATCATCCTGCTCATAACGCTGATGTCGAACCACTCGTTCGATTATCTCAAGTATATAGCATCCCTTGCGCAACGAGTGCTACTACGATTGACTTTATACTCACTTCGAGATTGATGGACGAATCTTGTGCACGAAAAGTTCCATTAACTGGGTACCGGCAAGCATAAGAAACTAATTAACTTGACTAGCAAAAACTCAATTATCAATTTCCTCACTAAACACACGTAATTTATCCGATGTGTCACATTCTTCTTTGCGTTTTTCTGTGTTTTTGATTTATCGTTGCTACAATTGATCATTTTATATGTTTTTTTTAAAATATGTGTCTTAAAATTTTCCAATAATATAAAAAAATTCCATTGAATTTTTCTGATCTTATTTTCATCATGCTAAAACAGAATGGCTCTGAGATAATGGAATCTCAGATTAGGGGTTCCCATGATTGAAATCGGCGGACTTATTTTTGGGAGATAAAGGAATTGGCTGATTTTCCATTGGAAGTGAAAGAAATACCATTGAGGTGTGATTGGTTCTTTGCCAATGTATTGCAATCGCATTGTCCACAATAAGTTTCGAACACTTTCAATTCAATTCCAATGGATATAAAATGCTAGAAATGAAGCATAAACGACCATTACAAGTATAATTCGGTTGAAAACTGTCGAACGAAATTTGATTGTGTAGAATATTTCAGACGTTCAACTTGATGGAAAACTTTTCTCAAATAAAATGTACTAACTTTCATCAAGCACAATTTGATTAGTGTCAGGATAGAATCACTCAGGTATATACATAGTTTAGTAGGGTATGTGGGTAGTGGACCAGGGGTACAAAGAGCAACTTCAATACGTCGAAATACGAATGAAGCATTGTATCTCAATAGTATTTTCACAATACTTCACCCATCCTTCACTTGTACTTCGCGCTATCAGTGTGAGTATGGGTGTATCGTTTCTTCTCTTTTTCTCACTCATTCACACTCACAGTATAACCCGGAGCATATTACCAACAGTTATATATCCTTTCTTTAGAATAACTTGCCGCGTGCGTTTGTATGTGGATATTGTTTTCATCCTCACTGTTACCCACATCCGCCTCCAAAATAAGACTTTGAAAATGTGATAGTATGATTTTCAAAAATAAGTGATATATTTACGAATATCGAAGGAAAGAGCTGGCTAATGGAGTAAGAATCGATCAGATAAAACGATAAATATGAACGAATCGTTAAGATAATGAACATGTTCAAAAAAGAAGGTGCTTATGCTTTTAGTCAAAAAACCATTTCATCGAAAGTGTTTTTCTGTTCACAAAGGGCACCCCAACCATGTGAGCTTTGACAAACTCAATTGACCCTTTTCATTCTGAATAATTCTATAGAAGAACTAAAGGGTTCACAACAGTCTCAAACGTCCCGCGAAACTTTTGACACTACGGTTTTTTTATGACAAGCATACAAATTGAAAAAAGGATTACAATCGTTTATAAATATAAAGACCACATACACAGAGGCCACAAGTAATGAAAAACATATAAAGAAATAGTCCAAGCCAAAGACCATTTATTGATGCAACAAAATTATGACATACCAATATGTCCGTCTTGTAAATGGCAGTTAATGGTAGAGGACACGCATCGGTTGTCAACTCTAGAACTCTATTCAAATAGCCTTTGAACTACAAAACATTAAATTCAATACATTCAGACTCATTGTTGATAAAATTTTGTAATACTAACATTATCAACAGTTTGATTCACTACAATAGGCGGTAATGTTGGAATCATAGTAGATATCTTTTCGAATCGTGTCTCGATTGTTTTCAAATCTTCTTCAATCTGTTGTACTTTTTTTTGAATTTTGATTGAATTGATTGCAACAGAAAACGCAGCAAGATGATTGAGATCCGATTGAATGTCAATAGAAGCAATCGCGAAATTGAATTTATCAAATATTTTTTCATTTAATCTATTCATTGCATGATAAGTATGATTCTCCAAACGAATCAAATGGGTTTTAAAAAAATATTCACTAAAATGTATATGATTTCTACAATCGTCGATAATACTTGTGAATACAGTTTGTACATCTAATCCATCAATAACTAAATCATTGGAATTTGCTCCAAGCAATTGATCTAAATCAAATTCAATACAAATAATTAATTAAAAGGAACAAATACATCACTACCAATGAAAAATGAAACAAGAAATGGTTGATCATTGTGAACTGTTCGACAAGCACCTTCAGCTAGCAGATCAACACCATGAAAAACACCGGTGACCAGAACGATCACAATCAATATGATCATCATTGGAATAAAAAATATTCGCATGCAACACAGAACTACACTCGAAGAACAATTCGATGATTGTGCATTTGATGCCCATTTCTTCTTTTCTCTTGAGGACTGAGGTTGTATTCTGCTACCACTTTGCCGATTGTTGTTCTTACTGAATAGATAGTATACATCGAAAATCACCTAATCATTGATCAATACTCATCTCACTGAATCCTCTATTCCAAAATTCATTATGCTACCGTTTCGAACCACTCTTTTGGTATTTTATTTGATTGACAAGTTCGTAAAAATCTGTTCACTTAGACCATACTAATTTATTTTTATGACTTTTGCTTCAAAACTAAATCTGTCATTGTTTACTAATGGAGTGAGAAAAGAAAATATTCAAATTAGCCAAAGATGTTTCTATCGATAGATGTTCCAATTCAGTGCAAACAAATGATTTTGTATTGTGAAACATTTGAAGTCCATTACTAATAATCAACATGTTTTAGACCGAGAAACAATTCGATTTTTCCTTACCGTTGAATGAAATTCTATGATTTAACGATTTCTATTAGATGTTAATATTCTATGTGGATAATATACGCTGTTTTGAAGAACATGATTTCTGAATAAATACTATTTGATATGGAGTAAATGATAAATTTGAGTTTTCCGAGAACTCATATGGATTTTAAAGAAATTTCTATTATTTTACAAGGATTATAATTGGTATACTCGGCAGAATATGAATAAGAAAATAGTGCATTTTGCTTCAGCCACTCAGGTTTTACTAGTAGTGTAACTAGAGGGAAATCCATTCTCTTGGAACAATCTAAATTCAACATAGAAAAATTCGAGTCCTCTCGGAACATGGGTTTAGGCTACTCTTATGATAATTTGAATATGCGGCTATCTACCTACCCTCTCAGAGCTAGAACTCTTTTGCTGTCATCTCACTAAAATTTCCGTTTAAGTTTTCATTAATGAGTCACATTTTCCGTTCGTTTTTTCAGTGTCACTCAGATCTTTCTTTTTGTACTGCTTTTACCAATCTAGTTTTAGGTTCTAGTTTCCCAGAATGAGGCTTACAGGCTGGTTGTGACCGAAGCGAGAATGATCTCTAATGTATTTTCTCTAAGGAATAACGTGTTCACACAGTATATTAAATTGTGTTTCACATAGCATGTCGATTTTCGATTCAGATCGATCGGGATGAGATATTCTTTTTCCTGAAAAATCTAAATTTAAAATTCGTGCAATGCTAGAATCCCAGAGTTGTATTTGGTACGATGACACAATAGCCTGAGAGTCGTCTATTGATAGAACACTAAACAGAAACCTATGACCGACAATATTGTCAACTTACGTCGTTGTTGCGTCGAAAAACGTTAGTGTGCTCTGTGATTTCCTATGTAATTAAGGTTTGCTCATATTTTCATACGATACGGTGGCTACTGGCCAGTATCGAGTCTAAACAAATCCGCAGATGAAAGACAAACCCAAAAAGATGGTTGATAGGCTGAATTAAATTGTAGGGCAAATAATGAAAAACCAGACGAGTTGAAAGTGAACCCCAAATATGTAATAGCAAAATCCATTGGATGACATTAGAGCCAAAAGGAATTTGATTGACCCAAGTAGAATCCACTGTTTTACTTTTCCGATGATCCCTATAGTACGTGTTTGTTGAAAAATAAAATGAATTCTTCGGAAACTCAAATTTATCATCAGATGAAAAAGTAGGAAGTAGATAGAGAAATGAATTAAGGTGAAGAATGAAAATTTGCTTCGTAGACAAAGTGATATTTTGATAAAAACAACATATTTTTACCTACGACACATCCGGCATATGATAATGAGAATAAAGAAAACGATTGGAATGAGACCAAGAATGACAATCAACACGAGAAGAATTGTTACCACAAGACGAACATACCATTGAACTTTATCTTCCAAAGTCTTATTCATTAACATGGAATTTTGCCACGGTGTTATTTGACTAAGGAAATCATTGCGAATTGTATCGATCAATTTTCTCATTTGCTGATGAACAAGATCTAGTGCTCCGATAACTATATCGAGAGTTTCTGTGTCATTTCCATTTGCATAATTACATGGTTCTTGTAGTGGCATTTTTAAATAATTGATCATCTCTCGATTATCATTTTTGATATCTTGAAAAAGAATTATTGCTTCTGGTAATAAATTTAATTCTTCATTAATGAGTTCTTCCAATTCGGTGATATGTACATCGGCATAATTCACCGATTGACGAATTTCGCTAAAAAAATATTTTTCTCGGAGTATTTGATCAAACGCTTTGACGAATATTGATTGTGATGCCTTGATCACAATAGAATCAGCTAAAAATAAAAATATTCTTCATTTCAGTTCAATATTGTTGAAATTTTTTCGAATTTGGCACACAATTATTATTCATTTCAATATATAATTTGCTTCGTTGTTTTTCGAATAATTTTTCGTAACATAATCATAGTGACCTACCATTTTCACTATTCAAGAAAGAAGACAGACTTGAGAACATCGAACTATATCGAAATTCGATTAGTAAGCAGTGAACCCATCAAGTGAGTTTTTGGTAATGATTTTTGAAAATGATGTTCTGAAGTCATTTCTTCTTCATTTTATACTTGTAATTTGACTAATCTATAAGAAAAATTCTTCTATTTCGACCTACGTAATATGGACATTCCTAGTGTGTTCCGTTGAAGTTTTATAAGACTTTTTCTGAGATCTCCAATATCAACCAATCGATTTGGGATCATCCGGAAAAGCACCTAGACAGGAATGATCCATCATGCTGAGTAAAATAATAATATGTATTTTTAGATTTGAACTAATCTGACACTATTATTTCAATATTTCTGACATATCGACTCTTTCGTTACTTGGAGATAGATTGTAGAATTTCAGCAATATGAAGATAACACTGTCTGATTAGTTAAAGCCTAAAAATAAATATCACCATTCGAATCAGCATGGTGAATTGTCCTTGGTTGGCTGCTTTTCGAGATGGTCTCAAATCAATTGACTGAAATTGGGTGTCACAGGAAAGTGTTATAACTTTTGAACGATGTGCAAAGTAGGAATGTCGACCTTGTTTAGATCAAAAGAGAAGGATTTTTCTAATCGAGTAGTCAGAGTACTAGTCTAAATTGAAAAAGATATGGTTGCAGAATATCATCTTCAAAAATTTTCACCAAGAACTTACCTGATTGGTCAATTGCTGGTCAATCAAATTTCTATATATTTCAATGGTTCTAAAACTTCTTTCTTGAATGGTGAAAATCGCAGACCTTTATGATGTTCATATCAAAAGTTATTCAACAACCAATGGATTACATTATACTTCGAAATGATTAGTAGTCTAGCAAATATTCTAACGAATGAAAGATTCAATCTTTACTCGACTTATCAACTGAAATAACAATTGAAAAAATAATCAAGTCGAAATCTGATTTGTTTGTTGATATGAATAAAAAAATCAAATTTTTTCATGATCGAAGATACCTCGTGTCGAATATTGATCAAGTATTTCTAATTGGTAGAGAAGATGTTCTAAATAAATCGAAACTTCTTTTGGATAAATTTCTTGATTGACTTCTTTAATTGAATCATCGAGAAAAAGTTTTGCTCTGCTAACTTGATAGGTAAGAAAAATCATTTGACCAATAACAATTAAACCGATTAGCAATATTAATACAATACAGAAACATTGTCCCGAACATGTTCGACTCTTCTTTCTTTCAGTTCTCTTAAAACAAAAGAAAAATTGACAAGACTGTCAAACATTGCCCGAAACCATATAATATACTCACTTTATTGTATTCTCTCTTACTACAATTGCTACATGAAATAATAAAAAATATCACTGAAAGTAAAATGAATAGAGCCAAAGCTACACTCGTATAGATAATAGTCGATGTCACCGGTTTTAATTTGACAATGGTCGAAGCATCCCACGATATGATATCGTCAGATGTGACTAGTTTCAAAAATGATCGAACATCAGCTATAGAAAAAGTCAAGCGAGCTAAAGAAGATGAAATCAATTGAAAAATTGCTTTTCCATTCGGATTGTAATAAGAATGACTATTAATATTAGTCACATTGTTGATTGTCGGTATTGTTGGCAATGAAGAAGATACATTCAAACATGTCAGTTCCAAATCCATTCACAAATGTTAACTGGAGTTATAGTAAAACGACAAGGTAGATCTTGAAAATTATTTGTAGAATCACACGAAATAATCAATCGGAAAGAGAAAAACACACATGAACTACAAATAATAGAATTAAAAAAAGAAAACGCTATTCATCTGTTATATACGTATATTATTCGACGCAATGAGTGATTTTACTTAAAGACATAGATATTCAAATTGACATTGATTGACAATGGTTATATATCGATGTCTATTCATGGCAATCGCATCTTAGAAAAAAATTTCTTCAAATTTGAATTTGTTCAGAATACAAGAAAAAAAATTAGAAGTAAAAAATCGATATGAACCAATTCGAATCCAAAACCTTCCTACATTCGCTTGCTTTGGGTTATCATCTTGATGTTGATGACATTTATTATGGTTTTGAGTGGTACCTTATCTTTACTTTACTAGATAACTAAACTAAAATACTGTAGTTAAGCTTATTATTGATTTATAAGTTTGCCATCATACTTTGATAACGATTCAATTTGTAAAAGCCTATTCAAAATTATTTATTCATTGGATAATCGAAAAACAAAACAAGTTGAAATTGAAAAACGTAATATTTTGCATTTATCAATGCTTCAAACATTCACTGATTCTCCTCATCCTATGCATAACATTTTATCTTTACTCTTTCAGTTTAACGAAATATCTATACTTTATCTTGCTGAAGACCAGATGTTTTGTAAATAATAAATAAAAAATGTAAGTTATTGCGCTTACATTTATCTGTGGATTTCTTTACACAAGCTTGTGCACTATCGCTGCAAATCATAGAAATTTCTAAATATGTCTTTGCAATTTATATGCAGGATATGAATGTGAGTGTTAATAAAAATTCAGAGAATATCTATACTCACACTTTCGTACTGTCCATATAGTTGTTTTATGATTAGTATGAATACTCTAAAAAGATTTGCACTATTGTAATCGCAGAGTAATGCCTATACTTAGTGTCGTTATAGAAATAACTATCACCTATAAATATAATGGATATAGAGGAGGACAAAAATCGATTAGAAGAATTTTACTGTGTGCGCAGTGATACGAAAAAGGCAAATAATGGGAGCAACAATCATGGTCTATATAATATAATCTTTTTCTTTGCATATCAATTATTGACAAACTGTTAGATAGATTCTAATCTGAAAAACTTATTGGATAATGCTTTTCTCAGTTCAAACAATATATTATATAGTTTCATCGGCAAGTATGTTGTCTGTGAAAAATGAAAACTTACAAAGATGCAATATATTAAAAGTATTTGGACATCGATTTAAACTTTCGATACAACAGAAATAATCGATCTTGTTCGTGAGGATATAAACGACATCAAGAAACATATCTCGTTTAATATAAAAACAATGAGTTTCTAGTCAAACAAAGAATTGAGTACATTCGTAACGATTTTATGGTCACAGGAAAGAAAAAAATAGATTAACTAAAACTCTTTAAATGACTCAAGCAGTCTTTCAAAGCTCTACTGCAAGGCTAGTTGAATTGAATTCTGCTTTCACCCTATTTATACAGGCAATATTGACTCACATTGCTGTTAATACTAACCATAACTGCAACTCTTCTGCTGGATAGAACTTGACTTATTAATGACAATCAGTGAATACGTGATTTGATCAAAAATTTCCTTTCGAGAAAAAATTCAATGTTTTCATTTTATCTAAAAGCTTCAGTTGTAAAACTTAAGTGATCCTCTATGACATATATGAATGACAGTAAATCATTTAATCGCAGTTCGATCATAAAAGAATTATTACAATCATCAAGACACATTATTGCTTCAACTGTTTTTTCCTATCAATAAAAAGAAAAGTCACTGTCTGGTTATAAAAAAAAAACAAATTAAAGTGAAGAATGCTATGCAATCATATCAGTAATTCAAGTATTTAAAACTTATTCAAAAATTACAAACAACGGATCGATGATCTTTGCAGTTATTGAAAAGCTTGTTTCCTTCTGATGAGATATTGAAACTATTCTCGGACTCTGTAGTGTGAGCAAAACAATGCGATGAATTGATGATCTCATTCTGGTGAACAAGTTGATTTCATCGTCTCATATGATTTTGAAAGAAAAAAAACGCATTTCCTTTTTGTTTTTCTTCTTTTACTCCTGTCGACAGGATCGATCTAATTAAACTCTTTCGAATACTCAATCGTAGTAATGAGGCAAACAAATAGGTTGCATAAGAGTGATGTTTGTAACGACGACAATCGATTGAAGAAAAACAGATTCAATGAAATATCGTTTTTTTTTGAATGACTATTTTTTTTTGTTTAACTTCGCGCTATCAGAACTTCATAAAGAGCGAGAAACCTAGTCAATAGAGAACTAACAGTGCAAAAAGAATGATTAAAGTGTACAATGAAATGAGGATTTCGTCTATTTATCTAATCGAATTGATTGAAATTATTCATAAAAAAGTAAAATTTTACAATTGTTCATTCCTAAGCATTCTTTCGTAGTGATGCGACATGTTTGAATTGTTTCGTGTTAATGACGCTCCATAGAGTGTTGAATTATTGCTTGTACTAAATGTTCCATTGAATAATACAGTTTCTTCTATGATTTCGATGGCTAGTATGAGCGAAGTTGATAGTTGTTTTCGTTTGCGATATCTTTAATATAGATAAATGACAAAGATTCGGATCTGAGTTTGTGTGCAGGTGTGACATCTTTTCTTCGATGCTATCCAGACCCATACCAGGACAAGTTGTCCAAGAAGATAGAACCACCTATAACAATTATTAAATTTGAAGATTCAATAATAAACATTTGGGCTTGTGAAAAATCCACACGTATGTGTTTCATATCATCATTCATTAATTGATATAATGATTCATAATACTCTTGAGTATTCTTGAAAGGCTTTTAACTAAAAATTGTCTGATCATTCAAGAACACTTTGCTGATCTCATTAATTTTTTGGTTTTTTGACATGTCGTCTTTATCAGCAATAATCGTTTCAACTTACAATTAATGACCATCACACATACCGACCTTATAATTCCAACGCACAAGAATATTAACGGTCACCTCACCAATTATAAACTGATGAAACGATAACTTTGTGACGTTCTTCATCTGATTTGTCTGTCCATACAATGGGCCGCCCGATATTAATCTGCATTCAAAAGAAAAAAAGACAATTCATTTCAAGCTAAACTATAGGGCTTGGAGATATACAGAATTAATATGATATTATACAAAGTGTACACACTCGATTTTTAAAGCGTAAAATTATGTGATATAAACCGATAGACTCGTACACAAAAAAAACTAGAGACTATATATAATATATAATATCATAATAATTCTATAGACCTGCAAGATCCACAAGAAGTGTCCTGTAAAAATAGGGATATATACTATGCATAACAATATTGACATTCTTTGGGGAGAAAGTGTTAATTGAATAAGGTCGATGATGACAAGTTGGTGGAACTATGATGATTATGAACGTGTTGCGTTACTTGTTTTGTTTAGTTGTGAAGTATTTTCATGCATGATGCGCTGAGAGATGTATTGCTTTCTTTAGACCTGCTAAATTCTCGCTTTTTTGAAAAAGGGATGTTTTTGTTTTTCATAATTACGTTTGAATTTAAAAAGAAGACCATAAACTCTAGACATTCTACCAATAATCTTAAAAGTATATGGGCCATTTCCTTGAAATATTTATCTCTGGAAGTCACGTCACCAGCTACATTATGATGATGTTTTCTCGATCGTGATTTTATTGCTATTATCATACATCTCATTAAACTGAAGCAAACTAAGCGTTGAAAAATTTATTTCAAAAGTATTAAATCAACTATCTACAAATTTTTCTTCGTCTTTGTAAACCTCTGAAAGAGAAAATTGTGTAATAAACAAAGTCTAGCATAACAATAGGAAATGAATTCAAATTTGAAAATTATTGAATTATTTTGTTATCGAGTGGTGAGAAAAATTTTTTCTTTTTCTTACCTTTTTTAGTATAAATATAAGTAATCATGAATTTCTAACGCAAAATTCAAATAATTATCAAAGTATTGATACACGATACGTGACTCTTGCGAAGTGACAATAATGCATTTATATTGATTCGAGATGCTTGTTTTAATTCTCGAGGTTATACTTTTAAAGTTTCATTCTCGTATATATGATTATTAATTTCTGAATATCTATGTTTAATTTGTNATTAATATATTGCTACCACTTTATCAACAAATATGATGAACTAGAAAGAAAGATAAAGATGATGACGATATTTTATAATATGTGACAATAGCAGTTAAACAAACAACAGTATCCACTTTTTGTTTCAAATCTCCAACAGAACAAACTTCCGATAATCTACTGTAACCCGTGGTAGAAAGATTTTAACTACAAAATATACGTACTATATACACCTGTACGATAGACAAACTTGAGAAGAGGACTCATTCTCTAACTTTTGAGGAAACTTTGCCATTCGTATCTAATTCATAGTCCAACTGGCGAAAGTTTTACTGACGAAACACCAGGACTGTTGTCTTATAGAAGCGCAAAAGAAATGAGAAAAAGAATGGTTGATCAAGCGAGAATGTAAAATGCTTGAGTGCTGTTGAATAATCGAGAGAGACGTGCAAGACAAACTTTCTCATACATTGAACTCTGACTGAGAAAAATTGTCTTTGCTTATGCTTCTCTATTATGCAGCATCCTTACTATTACCTTATCGTACGGTACAAAACGATTCCTAATCTACCTTACTCTAATCTTCACAGCGTCTATCCACTGGAACAAAATCGAAAAAAACCGCATGTTTATGCGTGCGGGTGTGAGTGTGGGTGCAAGTGTGGATTTTAATCTATTAATCTACATCCACACTCAAGAAGTGTTCGACGTTTGAATGAAGATATTTTTCTCGCAGATAATGCTTTTTATAACTAAGCGAAGCATACGGATTGGAAGAATCCAATGTCAAGAATTTAATGATCTCATTTTCCAACGATAAAAACATTACATATGTCATAGAGATATTGTGAAGCGTAATTTGTATGCGCATTATTACTAAACTGGGCGTCATGGTAGATGACTCATGGAAAGTATATATTCAAAAGGTGAAGGAAAAAACATTACGAAATGGAAAAGGTTGGAAGAAACATGACATAATACTTCCCAGCATGATATTCGAGAGCTTTCAACACAACATTTTCGTGCCGAAACAAACCCACAAGTTGATTTTTTTCTGTTCTATTTATTTTAAGTCGACCACTCTCTCAAATATTGGTAAACTGCTCTGCTCCCATATTAGTTTACCAATTAAACTCATCAGTATGCATCAAAGAAAGAGGATACAAGTCTGAGTGTGCATCAGTGTTACAACCGGAGAGATTTTTATTATCGATACCGGTCTAAACCGGCCGGTAGACCGGCATAAGTCATTGTACACTTTTCTTATCTTGTATGAGTCATATCTACCTTTGAATTACAACAGAACTTACGTAAACCGTCTATTTCATCATATAAGTGCTTTTGAAAAGAATGATTATTAATGAGTGTTGAAATATATGACGAGAAAATCGATATAATTTTTTCCAGATTTCTCCAAAAGTCGCGACAAACATGCGGATATTCTTCTAACCTACTGATGGAAATTTTGCTATGTTTGTAACGGCTTGGCAGGGTTTCTGACATGCTGGTTTTTGTTTTCGTTATGTTCTGTCATGTACAAGATGATGTTTCGCCAAGGAGGTAAAAAGCAAAAATTGCATACTTCAACGTACTTCGAGGATATGTCAAACCTATCCATTATAACTTCTTAGCTATGTCACATCTAGTGTGAAGTACGGAGTTTTTGCTTTTACTCCTAGAGTTTCCAAAATAGTTAAAGTAGCTCCATCGTGTTTAATGTTTCACTCGCATAGGAATCGCATCGAAAGCCTACTCTTCACTATCGGTTTTTATAAATTTCCACTCTTTTAGCATCTATCGATAGAAGACAAATTTCATATGACCACGAACTCTATATTTACTTTCTATATTGATCAAACGTTATTAAGGCACAGAAATTCTGCATCAGTTGTAGTCTCGTTTGCTTCTACGAAAGATATACAGCCTGTCCACAGGTAACGCACTCACCTATTTTTAACCTTCTAATCCCAAATACTCAAGAGTCATACGTACTAAAGACCTGAAACTTATAGTGCTAAGAGATAGTTGGAAGATCTATCTCTGCTAAAAATTTGACTTCATTTGATTTTTCTATCACGGTTTTAGAGGTTCAGGAAACTGTGGTAACGCACTCATTCAAAAGGTCCCTTGTCATTACCCCCACGCAAAAGAATATTATTTTGCTACGAATTTTTGTGTGTTAAAAAAATATATTGTCACATGAATTTGTAGCTAAGATGATGGGTTTGATAATCATGGTATCTGCTTTTCGAAAGCTTATTTCTATAAGAAGTTATTACTAAAGGATTTCGGTAACGCACTCAGCAGTTGGTAACGCACTCAGCAGGATTTTTTAAGAATTTTTTAGATTCAATGTTTATGCACAAAAGCATTATGTAAACGATTCCTGAACAACTCAGAATGGATTTTATAGTGAAATACATTTATTTCTTACAAAAAAATACACACTTTTCCTTATAATAATATGGCACCAAAAACGCTTTTTTGTTATAATAATATAATAAAAACACTTTTCTGAAAAATCTACTCTTCAACTGAATTATATTCAAAAATTCACTGTCCAACAACTTGTCGATTGACTATATAAACGACATTCAATAATATCTTCACGTATAGCAGTTACATAGTGTAATTTTTGTGTATCTCGAGCAGATCTTGTATCATTGAATATCTGTTGCAATTTTTGTTCAGATGCATCAATTGCTGCTTGTGTTATTTCATGTAAAATAATGGTATTGGTTTCGCTTTTGGCAAGACGTACGAAACAGGCTGCTGTTTTACATTGCTGTTTAGTCATAATTTCTTGCCAAACCAGTCTTTTAACGGTACCACCAATGGCGTCTACCACGCCTTTGCCGTGGCTGGTGGCAAAAAAGCTCCATGATAAATTTAAATCATAATCAATTGACAATCTTGTTAAGTTCCGAAATAAAAATCGCTGCTTGAATTGGGAAGCAGCACCGTCACTAAAAAATATAATTGTTTTTAAATCTGGTAAATATTGTTTCAATTCACCAATAATATAACCAAGACAGGTGTTAATACAATATTTATTATGACTAATATTGTCTGAAGGCAAAGCAAATGAGAAATCCAATGGACCACACCAGGCATGTGCAGTAAAAATTGAAATTGCCTTAGTGGACCAGTGTGCTGATTGAACAGCATCTTGTTCTTCTATAGCAAAATTCTCTGCATGATCGACTTGTACAACTATTGATTTTTCATCAGAATCTGCCTTCATTTGTTCAAAAAAATTGCTTTGTTGACGTTTAATAAATACATGATTCAAATATTGTTTTATTTTCTGTGATAAAGGTTGTATGCATTCCTTCACAGTACCTTCTTGTTCTGTTTTTTCAACACGTTCTCGATTGTGGTTCCATTGAAACCATTTTAATTTTACATTTTCATCAATAATCTTGTTTTCAATATTTAATTTAAAATTATTAGAACAATAATTACAATTTGATGACACACATTGTTCATTTGATTCATCACAGACAAGCACTGTGGTGAATGATTGAAAATCAGAACAAGTTGATCCATTAACATATTTTGATAATGCATCAATAAGTAAATTGACATTTTCATGATATAAACATACGCACACGCGGTGCGGCATGGACGATTTCACCACAACATATTGTGGTCGTAATTGAGCAAAGGCTGAGCGTGATACATCAATACCTGAAATAGGTTATACAATGCTTCTCAGAACGATATGAGAATAAGTTGAAGAATAATCGCATACCTGGATTGTCTTGCAAGAACATTTGATGTGCCTCACGTAAATTAAATAATAAAATTCTTTTTTGATAAGTTTTCTTAATACCATTTTGTTCTTTGACAACAATTGTATCACGTTTACCTGGCATTTGATACGATATATCATCACGTTCACAGAAATGAAGAACAGTCTTTTTGACTGCTAATGGTAATGATCGTGAAACACCAGGAGCCATTGGTATAGGTGAAAGACCAACAGATTGAGCCATTGCTTGTATAACCAACTTTTGTTTGTTTGTATCTTTCGGAAGCATTTGTTTGACCTTTTTCGTTGCTTTTGCCACTGTTTGTATTGTTGGAGATGATTTGCTAGAAAACAATTAAAATAATTTAACGATCGATTACCGATGATCGTTACTGAAAGACTTACTTAGAATTTGAATCCTTTTTTTTTTATATAACGTCTTTGTGAATCAGCATGTGCAGCCAAATATTTAATTCGTGCTGATCCAGTTAATTATTGACGAAAAACTTTCATTTTGGCAGCATGTTTAGCCTTTTTCAATTCATATAAGCCTTTTCTTACTAAATTTTCACGATATCGTTTTTGTTTTTGAGCTGGTGTAAGAGCCATATATAGAGAAATTATTGATTCAAGCTAATAGATTTGTAATTAAGAAAATCACGACAATTTTCTCGAAATGTTGTGAATTTAATTAACTAGATTTAGCTAGCGTATAGCCTAAGATAAATATATTGACTAGACACAAACTCTTACACCGTTGATTTACACCAAAAGCAAGGTATATATAGGGAGATGAACAAGACGTCGGACGCGGATGTATTCGAAAGTTAGAGAAGAAATAACTCATGAGTAAGGGAGAGAAGAGATAAAAATATCTCGTCAAGAAAGAAAAAGAAAAATAGCGATCGTATATCGTAACAGTCAGAACAAATACATTATGTGGAAGAACAGAAAAGAAAAAGAATTTGACTAAACAATTCACAGAGAAAACAACATAAGAATGAAGAGGCGCATGTAGTGATGAGCAAATAAAACAAATCTGAACATTTAGTTTCAATTTTATAAATAATCTGAAGGAAAAATATAATCGATATAGTCTAATTAACGGTCAGACGTACAAAGGTCGCATGAGTGCGTTACCATTCATTTTCCTGAAGCATGCGATTTTAAAAAATTCTTAACAGTACATATTATAGTCCGTCAAAAGTTACGTAAGAATAGATAGCTCCCTTTAAAAAGGTCTCCTGTGCTACGGCTAGAAATATAAAAAATCCTGTAAATGGTAACGCACTCATTCCTCGTTTGGTGAAGTTTTGTGAGGTGATCTTTTTAAACTAAGAAAGAGAAGGATATTTTATCAGATAGTCTAGAATAAAGCCCATCTATTAGTGATTCTTTCTATACCCAAGCTCTCTCATATAACGCTTTAGAATGTCTGCTGAGGACCTTTTTCTTTGCACCATCAAAACGCACAATAATAAAGTTAATTTATAATCATTGTTTTGAAGCTCCATTCTTTCACCAAATAGAGTGAATGAAAAAACAAGACTCATATCCTTATACGGTTAAATGTGCTCAACAAACTAATCATCTCTAAATTTGAAAAATCTAAACTTCAAAGTTGGCCAGGCTGGGTCGCCGTTAGCTGGACAAGCTGTATAGTAAATATCAATGATACGAAATGAAAGTGAACATATAATAAAATTCCAATGATGCACAATGTTTCCATTTTCTTCCGATAATATAATTTAATATTAAAGTGATTCAATAAAATATATTAGATCTATGTATTTTAATGAATATTCACTTAATAAAAATGTTCAACTGCATATTACCCCATAGAAACAGTCATTGCCATCGGTAAAGATGGTTTGATATGTAGCAACAAACATATGTATGATCAGTTTTTCGAAAAAAAGGTGTAAAAACTTGAAAAAATTTATACCAACCGGTCAACGGCTGTTTGCTGTTACCGGTTGCAACCCTGCTATGGTTTTGGGAGTTGATGAGGATCGGTGTTGTTGTTTGGATGGATACGACTGTAGGTGTTGATGTGAACTCGTCCATTTTTGCCGAATGAATTCATGATAAAAAAGAATTGGGATCAAATATAATCCATCCTACACATATAACATTTTATTAAAATTTATTTATTTATTATCAAATCAACTGGACACAATCTCAGTTAGTTACCACATCAAGTGTGGATGTATACGTCAGTGTGATGAGAAAAACGCCTACACCTACACTAACACCCATACCGAAATATTATATAGCATCAAGTCTGGCGAATATGATGAATGTGACATTGTAGTGGTGCTTTCTTCTGTTAAATAGTGAGCAATATTAGAGGAGTATCGAGTCAGCTATGATTGTCAAACAATCAAGTACTTTTCTATCTAATGTCTATCTATATTTTCACATATCGTTAGCAAAACGCTTTAGACAATTTTCAACATAATAGTTGTGATATGTAGTCTTGCATTTAACAACATTATGTATAAGAATAGAATCATTTTATTGGGAGTATGGGTGTTGATGTGATTGCTGCTGTCAGGAAGGTCGACACTGACACCCAAAATCAGTGTTGTATCCAAAATTTATCTTCTGGAGGGAAGATTTGAAACTGTGGAAGGCTGAACACCTATTTTTGAGAATACAGACACACAGTACATGGAAGAACCACAAAGTACACAAGCGTCCACTAGATCTTCGGCGGAGTGCCGTCTCTCGGCTCCATTACTGAATAAAATACTGTCTACAACCTTAAATGGTCATTGAAAAAAGCTCCACAAAAAGGAATAGATAAACAAAGTTCTTTGAATATGTTTGTGTCATTATAGTAGTTGACTATCCATGTAGGTGCTCTAGCAAAAGTTAGCTGTAGTTGTACGAATTTCTCGGGCATTCTATGTATGAGAACTTTTGAGAGAGTTCTGTGAAACGTCGGAGAAGCCCTATAGACTAGTGACAACTCAAAGATGGCAAATAAATTACTTTGAAAATTGAGCAAATCAAAGAACATGACTATTGAAAAAGTATTATAGAAACGTTAAATCTATTGTTTGTCTTTGCCAGAAAATGTTCATTTTTTTCTTTTAATTAAATGAGAATAGTTTTAGACGATATTACTAAACTTTTTGCGCGTGAAAAGAAACTTGGAACTTTCCTCCATCATTAGGAAAAAAATTAACTCATCCGATCAAAACTCAGCGAAGATATTCTATTCTTTTTTACTAGGTTATTTCCTACACACTCGGTAGATGTTTATATTCAATTTTGTCAGAATAACATCTTCGAAAATTGTCACTGTAGTTCGATAATTTCTCTTGACGTTGCCTTTCTATTAAGGGTTTTTTTCGACTGGTAGATACAATAGTGACATTTCAATTCTTTTTGAGTAGGTTTTTTATTCACCTGCACGTAATAACACATTGTAACAGTCAGACTGTGCATCTTTCTCTTTGTGTTTGTTCAAGTAGATGTTAATAATTATGATTTTTCTATAAGGTAAATCGACAAGTTTCTGACAATTGATCATATAGAAAATACAATTGAATTTCTATTATATAATTGGTTCAATTTTATTATTCTCATTATTCAACGACGATTGATGGATTATTCTTTGAACAAGATTTGAACTTTTCTGTTATTGTCTATTACATATATTTAGTACATCTAAATGATTTCAAGGTTTACATGTTCTAATCCATATTGACATTTGTTTGCTTGAAATAATTGTTCAATTGCTTGAATATATTCATTATGAAGTTGATCTATATCAGTAGCAGTTGGATCAACAATTTGATTGACATGAATTGGTTTTCCAACTGAAAATATATCAGTGATCTTCTAACGAATGTGACTATTTTCTTACCAACAGTAATCACAGAATTTCGAAGTGGAATATGTCCAATAATCGATCGACCACAAGGAATACCGTTCGGTATCAAATTAAAACAAGTTCGTCTTTCATAAAGTTCATTTTCTCCAAATGAAATAACAGGTACTAATGAAGCACTAAAATCAAATCGAGAAGAAAGCCGATTGCTTGTTAATGATTTTCAAAGAAAAAAAATCTACCCATATTTTAATGCTAATTTGACAAAACCTTTTCTTCTCTTTATATAAAATATCATAGTATCATTTCTTGTTATATGCATTTCAGGAACACCACCGAGAACAATAACTAATGCATTACCTTGACCACATTTACCACTAAGTAGATATTCACAACTATTCCTTGATACACAACATGCGCCTAAAAACAAAGTAGGCAATATTTGTTCAATCGATAATGTTAAAAAAAGATGAATTCACCTAAGTTGAGAAATAGATCACGTGTACATGGAAATAGAAATTGAAGACGAAGAAGCATTAAATGAGGACGAATATTTGGGAAAAGAATTGAAAAATCTGTAGCATCTGTAGCAAAATTGCCGAAAGCACTCAAAGCAAACGCTCCATGTGGATGATATCCAAATATATAATTTCGATTTGGATCAAGATCTTCACTTTTAATTAATTTAAGAGGAAAATAATTTGCAAATTTTTTCCATATACATAATCGACGAAATCGATCTGACCATCGACCTCCTTTGGAATCAGTATGATAGTCAAAGAAAACCCAACAGCCATATATCAGACAAATACCAAGAATGATAAATAAATACCAAAATTGTTTAAATAAACAAAGAAGAATAATCGGAATAATGATAAGCAGAAATGTAATAATAGGTGAAAATAAGAAAGTAGTGATTAGGATAGTAACTAATAAAAATTCAATAATTCGTGCACAAACCATATTCTAAAAAAAACAATTTCTTTTAGTGTCATAAGTAGGATGAAAAACGTGACTTGTAGAAGTCAGTCTAACAATTACGCAGAAACTTGCAACTATCATGCATAAGAGAACAGAAAAAATAATAACTAAGGTGTTTTCTCAAGAAAAATATGCTTTATCGTAAACTAAACTATATAAACAAGTAGTTGATGCTTACATTTAACTCGTTCTATTTCTGTTAAGTACTGGTATTCGGTCATAAAATAATTTGAATACATTTATTAATACCTAGCTTTTATCGTATGAAACATATAGCGAATGTCAAGTAATAATCGTGCATATTCAATAATGAAAATATCAATAAAGCTTTCATCATCCTTAAGCAAAAAGTCGACACTATTAATTATACTACCAGAAAGATGATTAAAACACCAATAAGAATCAGCCAACAATATCGACCATATTATACGCGTGTTTTGCTGCACTTTCTGGTTAAATAGAAAAAAAAAAGAAAAAAAAATTCTTTTTTACCCTGTGTACGCAATGAATTAAAATAGAGAACGAAGAAAAAAAGATGTGTAGTGTGATAAAAGTTATCTTTACTGTCAAATGCTGCCATGAACATAATACGATGGAAGGTTTATTATTTCACGTGTAGAATACGTCTGAAAGAGGAATGATTAGATATTTTTTATCATGCTCAGGCTGATTTCTAGAGTCAATAAAAAACTTTTCTCATAAACAAATCCACTTGAAACTACTTTAATCTTTCTGGAAGAATAAGATGCTTACTTACAAAGGAAAAGTTGCGGTAAAATTTGCTTTCTATTCTTTGGTAATCTTGAATGTGAATATGAATGTGATATAGAGTATGACATTCACCGACATTCTTACCTATACCCTTACTCACGATTCATATCATTTATACACGGTTTGATTCTATATTTTTCCAGTGAGTCATCTTTGTTTTTATTCTGATAATCATGGGAGTTCATAGACCGTTCAAAGAACTGTGCAACGAGTTAGAAAAGAAGCTAATTTTTAGGACATTACACATACACAGTGAACTTAAAGACTTATAGAGTCACACTCGAACGTTTTCAATTCTGAAGCTCTGCAACGATAATGCACCGAACAGTTAGCTTTCAAGTGAGAGTATCACCAGACATCAAGACTATCGAATGTAGTTTGAAATATTTTCCATTCTGTCGATATTTATATAGACTACAGCTTAAACTTAGTATATAATGGTATTATCGATTTCAAGGGATTATTTGATCTTGTTTTGATTACTAATTGATGTCGGATGAAGTCATTAAAGTATCTGGAATCCAGTTGTGAAATGCTTACCAATTTAAGCAATTTCATTCAATATATAATTGCATTAGACATGATATAAAAAGTTCGATCGATTGAATCAAATTCTTATGCACTCTCATCCTTCCTTGAATAATTTTTAGACAATCAGGTTTATCTGGATAAGACTGTTTCATGTACTTAAAACAGCTGTGAATGATGAATTTTGTCTTTTTATAGAATAATTATTTTCATCATTGATCCAAATAAAAACTTGATTTTGAAGTTGTTTTCAGTATCGTTTAATGATTTGATTATAATCATTTTTATTAATAGTGTTAAAACGAAACAAGAAATTGTAAAAGATTCGACGATATCGAGTAATTCCTGTACTAATATTTTCAATATCGGTCAATAGATCTCTCAACTTTTAATAAGTTGTCGATCAATCACGATGAGTAGAATTAATACGATCAGAGAAAGTCTAAATTGAATGAAGCTGAGATCATTTACTCATTTTGAAAATGAACAATGTAATCGAGATATCCATCGACATTATAAAACATTTCGATATCATTCACAATACATCAAAGTTGTTTGATTTGTTATTCAATTTCATCTTCGTTATGCATGTAAAGCAAAATCAGAACGAAATTTGCTAAATTAAATCGTTCCACAATGAATTAGAAGTGATATGTATTCGAAATTATTTCTCTTTTGATCGAAAATATAGTTAAACAACAAAAATAAACATTTTTTTTTCTTTGTATCTAACATATGGTTCAATAGACGTATAATCGAATCTTTCGTTTTTTTTATATTTAACAACAGATATCCATAGAATAATGAATTATACTATTGTCTGTTTTAAAATATAATGGGCTCCACTGTTTTCCCAATAACTCAAGTACGATAAGAATTACAGAGCTGTGATTTTCATTAGTCGATAGAGGAGATATGGGAAGGTCATTTTATCCCATATTGTATAAGACGAAATCGTTTTAAAATCAATCATTTCTGCAAACTATTGCATAAAAATTTATGAAAACTGGCTATCATGTCGATGAAATTTTGGTTTTTATATGTGATTTAGATAGAGAAACTTCCGTTCTATAGTTTAAGATATAACTCGAATACTTATCTTCCAACATCGTAATGCTAAGCAAAGAAATTGTTTATTTGTTCCCTCGAAAAATATGATTTTTTTAAATTTTTAAGAAAATGTTTTTACTTTTTGTTAAAATTTCATCGAAATAATAGCCAGTTTTCATGCATTTTTTTGCAATATTTTGCAGAAATTATCGGTTTTAAAACAATTTCTTCTTATACAATATTGGATAAAAAAAATGTTCCCGTATTTCTTCTATCCACCGATGAAAACCGCAGCTCTGTAGCTCTTGTCGTACTTGAATTATTGCAAAGCTAGTGGAGCGCATTATATTTTGAAACAGACAATTGAACATTTTTTCTTATGGTTCTATATACTTATCTTGTCTGGTGCGTTTTAGAAAGATCGAAAGGAAAAATATCGAAAATTTCAGCTAACAAGACTCTTTTTTTTTGGCATAAGCGGTATGCAAGTGCGAGTATATGTGTGGATTCAAGTTTTCACTTCATCTATACGCATATTCACCATGACGACATCACTTTTTAAATATTTTTCCAGTTTCCACATTTTTTCTTTTCAACATTTCGATGGCTAACTACTTGTCTTTCTCTATTACAACGAAAGAATAACGTTGATAATCTATTCTTTTTTGAAAAAATTTTGGAGGTTTTAAAATCGAAAAATTTTAAAATCAATGTGAATTAATTCACGAACGAAAAAAACGGTACGGAGTTTCGAAATCAATATTCTTTGAATATTTCATATCTTCTTTGACTACGCACGTGATCAATATCTTTTACAAAGATCAACAGTTTCATTTAAAGCAAACAGCATTCTTTTTCAGACATGCTTTCAATATAGCATAACTGAGCTCTATATGTCTTTTTTTCTGAGAAACAATAATGCGTGATCCAATTTCATAGTTTCTAGATAATCTTAAAAACGTGCTTAAGCCTGTTATTGATGATACTATGTAATCATATCAATCTAGTTACGTTTGACGCAATATGTTGAAATCTTTTTTTTCTATTGATTGAAACTATTTCAACCAGTATCGAATAAAAATTGAAGATCATCAGTCATTGATTCATTGATGCTTTCAGAACTGTAGATATATGCTAGCTTGGTTTTCTTTCATTGACATCCATTATATTTTATAAGTTTTCCATAACGTAAAAATGATAAGTTACCATAGTATTTTGACATCATTTCAATCAAATATTGTATAAATGAAAATAACCTATATACATTGAATATTATAAAAGAGCAAATTTGACCTGTTAAGCTATGCACTATAGTAGCAAAAATGTATTGATATGAAAAATTATGAAAAACAAAGTGTCAACATGGCGCGGAAAAACATAAAAAATAAAGCCAAACAAGAAAACAAATAACAATAAAATCGAGGAAAGATGGCATTAAACGTACAATGAATACAACTGTGAAGTACTCGAAATACAAAAAAAATCCATGCAGCAACAACATATGTCGTATCAACTTGTTTCGTGATAAATAAGTAGATTGAAAGTGCATAAAATAATACAGGCATTTCAAATAAATTTTTTAGATTATCTGATGGATTTGATACAGCAGGAGGAGATATTCGTGCTAGTTCACCAGGACGCATAAGTTGTTCTGGTCGAATATTGATCGAATTAAGAAAATAAATACGTCGAATGAATAAATATACCCAAACAACAGTTGTCAATAACATTGTAGCAAAAAACGGTCCAAAAATTCGAAGTTGTAATTTTTCTTGAGCATTATATTGTACCATCTTTAGAAACGATTGTTCAATTATATAAAATACGTAGAAAAAGAATCTAAGATGGAAATAAATGAGCAATGGATATTTACAGAATAAGAAAGTAAGAAAGAATAGAATAGCATTGCCAATGAAGTCAATGATAGATGGCGTTCAAAATTACATAAAACGTATGTACGATTTACTATTTAACCGATGTTCTAACTGTACTATTTGTACATGTTTATTTATCTTTATTGAGAGAAATACATTCAATTAGTGCTATATGCGCTGTTCAATTGGAAGACTTATCTTACAAATGCATACAATGTTAAATGCAAAAATTTTGATTTTTATAATTAAATCAAAATTTAAAACTTATCTATTCGCATACTAAAAAATCACCATAAATTACAATATTTTAATAAGCATCAATATGTGTACATTGGAGACAAAAAAAAACTGAGAAATTAGCAAATATTGAGATCATTAAGAAAGACACACACATATTTAGCAAAAAAAAGCTTCGATGTGCTGAATTAAAAAAACAACAAAAAATAAATAAATAGAATAAAATTAAAGCTCATTGACCTTGACTCATTTGATATGTTTAATAAATCGAGCAATACGGCGTTGAGTGTCAAGTAATTGTTCTGATTTATTTGATGATACTATATTTCCATTTCGACGTTGTTTTTGCAATTGTTGTTGTTGTTGCTGTTGAATAGGTGGAAGTGCTTTATAACGATATGGAACATTTTTTGATGAAGACATTGGTCTAGCAATTGAATCAGCAACATCGCTAGGCATACTATTATCATGTTTTGTTGGTTCAGATTGAATACAAGAAGGAATTTTATTACGATGATAATTTTGAGAATATGAAAGAGGTTCAGATACACGTTTTTCAAGTTCTTCAAAAGCAACTGGTGGTGAATGAAGTGATCTAGATACTGTTCCATTGAGAACACCTATTTAAAACAAAAAATATTTTAGAACAATAAAGCACGATATATTTTATGTTTTCTAAACTATTCTTCTTCATGGTAAGTAATTGTTGACGCGCATCAATAAGTGCGTCTTTCAATTGTTCACGTTCTGTACATTCTTTATGCACGGTTTCTTGTAAAGTTATCATCTAAATAGAAAAATAAATAAAATAATTTATGACGACAAATTATTTTTTCATAACATATTTCTTCAATATTCTAGCGCTATTAGATTACTGAACAAAAAAAAACAACTAGAATGAGAGTTTTTACCCGATGTTATCATATATGATCAGAATTTCATGAACTTGCGAGGGGACTTCTTCGCCCGCGTCCTTCCAATTTCAGTGTTTATTTTTGTTACATAATGTTCTAATTAGAACTTTGAAGGTATTTGGGTTCCGATTGATATTTTACTAAAGTATTGAGTTTTGTGGGTGTCTATTTTCTAAAGATCCAGTGTGGTTTTTGGGAAAATTCGTATTTGCAAATTTCGCTCGCAAGTTTTGAACAAAGTGTCATCGACATAGGAAGCTTTGAAAAAATACATGTTATGTACGCTATACATGAAAAAACGTGTATGATGTCTCATATCTGGAAGAGACTTTGTTGAAAACTTCTGAACTTTTTTATAGGAGCTAGTCTAGTTGAGTTCTCCATGTGTGCAAAGTTTCAGATCAAAATTCGAATATACGAGTTTTTCGAAAACTTGAAGTCCTTCCGACAGAGGCTTCTAGAAAATAGACATATTACAAGTTCGATAGCTTAATCAAATATCAATAGGAACCCGAGTTCTTATAGTATTTTTATTAGAACATTTTGCAGCAGAAAACAATCGAAATTGGATCGGGACAGCTGAAAAAATTTCCTCATTACCTTTGTATTTATATTAAAACGTCTTCAACCTATACTTAAAAGAAAGTCTTTTATACGTAAATGCTTAAAATGAAATTTCCTCTACAAAATATAGTATTTTTTCCTCTTTTTATATTTTGTTCGAGAGAATCAAAATCTATTGAATTTGAAGTATTGTAATTCGAAAAATGCTAATGAATTTTGATTCTTTACAATTCTTGCTTACAAGGGAATATTCACAGTCGTCAGATGCTGATCGAACTCATATTTCACTTATAAGTACAATTCTGTGAGACTAGTGGATGTCTGAACGACTTCGGGTTCATACCTTACCTATTCAGAGTTATGAGCATGATATTGAAGCTTTCAGCTTCTAGGTTAGATATTCATGAAAACATAAATGATGAAGTTTTCATCTGTTTTTACCTGAGATAATAATTTTGAATGTTTTCTCGCTAGTATAATTCATAAGTTTGTGAGAAATAAAATTCTCTCGAATAAAAGACAGTCAAAATTATCACATAATAGAATTCCGAGAAGTGATTAATAACAACAAAAAGTCTGATTTACTCGATACAAACAATATATTTGATTTATTTGCATATATTACTCAAATTTAACGAACTTTAGACATTAGAAATCTTATGATGTAAACTGATGACTATTGATTAATTCTAAAAACTTATAAATAGTCGAAAATTGACGAAACATCTTGTAAAGAAAACTTTTTAAACAAAAAATGAACTCTAGAATAAGAAATAAAATACTTCTTCTCGTGTTTGTTCTAAACATTTGTGTAATTCATTGATAGTCGATTGTGCTTGAAATNNNATATACTAGACATCTTGCAAATGTCAGTTGCTAAGCAATGTCCAATATGATTGAATAATTGAATGTTTCTTTTTATTTGTCAAATTTTAATTATTATTAAATATTTTAATTATATTTGAATAATAATTATTACACCTAAAGGAGAATTCATAGTTTTCAATGAAAATAAAATTAGATTCTATTGTTTGTTTTCCTATTGGCTAGAATTTATTTACATATACAAGCATGTTGCATGTAAATGTGGTTGATTGAAAAGTTAATCCAGATTTAAGATTTAATGCACTTTTCGAACACGAATTAAATTTAATGCATCAATCACAAAAGAACTTGATCTGCTAATTAATTAACACGATGAATGTGCCTCAATAAAATTACTGTATATCATCGACAGATAGATTTTTTCAATATGATAAACTGTAGAGATTGAAGAGAATGACAGAAGCGACTTTTTTTTCCGTGAACACGTACTATAATTATGCACTTCGACTACATTATAGTGGTCATTTCTCAAATCTGATTGATGTATTAAATTCATAATTGTAGACGCATATAAATTTAATTCGAAATTAATACCGAATTATTTTTCTATTGTAGACAAGGCCTTTATGCTAGAAGAAAGATTTAATAATCAAATTGATGTATGTGTTATATTAATATGCTTTAGAAAGTTCTTAGTCAAGACGTATAGTATGAATTAGTCATTCAATTTGCAATTACACGAACTCTTTACGGATTGGTTCTATACTGAAATAATCATCACTTTTGAGGTGTATATGTACATTACACGTGTCACAGTCTAACTATAAAACTAAAAAAATGAACGAATGAATAATTAATATGAAATCTTTTGTTTTGTTTGTTACTAAGTGTGTTTGGGTAAGTATATTGTTAGATTATGGTTGGACTTTGACATTTTTTGCTTTTGCTGATTTGTTTTTGGTTAAAATTTTGAGTTTGTTTTCTCTTACGGAAAAGATATCATATATGATTTATTATACGAGAAAGATAAAAACAACATTTATATTATTATCTAATTAGTAATTCATAATATAGATTTCATATCAATCGATTTCTTTGTTGTTTGCACATCTGTGTACATTGAATTCTATTACGGTTGACCGTCTATCAGTCTTCAAAAAATTATTACGTCATAGAAGTGGATACAACAGAGAAAACAATGAATAGATTTCCTCTTTTTTCTTTCTGCATCTATTCTTCTTATTTTCATCTATTCTATATTTGTATACTTCGACTTATACTAGCCAACACTAAAAATATCGACATGCCTCTTTGCGAACAAGAAGCAGAAATGAGAGAAGAGAAAGCGATAAAAGAGGTAAGAGGAGACTACTTCGTCCGCCGTGATAATATGGTCGTATGTTTTCATAAGAAACATTTTCTTTATTGTTTTATGATTCCGATCAAGTTAGAATCGATGATATTTCATTAAGATATCATTTGAAATTATTTTTTTAGATAATTTTCATTTCAATCGAATAATGGAACCTCAGAGTTATGATATTGATTCAACAACAAATGAATGGAATAAAAGTTCATCTAATGATCATTCAATGCGACATGATCCAAATGAAACACCAACAGTTAATTCAACAAATCCAAATTATCATGCAGCATCAATGACAAATAATCATAGCTGGGAAAAAAATAACTCAACTGTTGAAACAAATGTTGACAAGGCTGAAGAAGAATTCAAAAAAGGTCAACAACATGCAGAAGATATTATTACAAAGTCAAAAAGATATATTCTACAACACTGTAAGTTAACACAATATTAAAATTCTTCTTAATCTATACTTGACAAAAAAATATCCAAATCAATAGAGAATTAGTCTATGTAGACTAATAATAACCTTAACTATTGTCTATGTTACTAATAAATATCGACATGAAAAGCTTATACCAGTTGTGGAAAATATATTGCAATCGGAAGACATATTAACACATAGACACACGTTTTATTTCGGCTAGCGACAAAGAATCTCAGTGACAAATGTTTGTGTAGAGAAATATATACGTCTTATTCATTCTCATGCCGACGTGATGATTTTTTCTTCATCATCATCATCATGTGCTATTGCTCAAAGAAAGTAGAATGAAGATTGACAAAAAAAAAAGAAGAAAAATGCATGATGAAGATGAATAGAAATATGCGGAAGAAACCGCACATAATAATAAATATACCCAAGAAGTGAGTCTATCGATGTTTTATTTTCTTTGATCGAGAGGAAGGAAAAGAAATAGAGTGGATGAAAACTGAGAAGATCATATTTACATATTTCTTCTTTCTTGTTCCATAAGAAAAAGAACCAATATTTTGCCTTACTGATTTCTAGGGGAACAAACTCGTCATTCAATTATTTATTTACAAAAACGAGTTAAAGAAATGGTACCGAAAAAAGGTAATAACTATTGTGATATATCATTTTTTTGTTGTTTTTCTTATATTAATTGTACAAATTTTAGTTTCTAATTTTATTTATTGGCAAAATCCAATTGAATCTGGTATAATTTTTGGCGTTTTATTATCGGTAATAATAACATTCATGTTTTTATCGTCATTGGCTGCAATATCATTTTGGTTACTTGCATTTCTTGTTATTGTTGGTCTTTATAAATTATATAATTATGTCATGGTAACATTTGTTGGTCGAATTCAAGATGATATATTTGAGTAAGAAATTTTATTTAATTAATTAGTAATATTTTTATATATATGTAAATTTAGTTCAATATTTTCATCTGATATGCATATTTCTGATAGACAAGCACAAGCATTGGCTAATTATATTCGTACAAATGGAACAAGTATATTAAGACAAGCACGAAGTCTATTCTTATGGAATAATTTAACAAATTCAATTATTGTAAATAAATTAAATACTTTTATTCTTTTTTTTTTTGAAATATGATTAAATGTTTATGTTTTCTTTTTTTTTTCAAGTTTGCTCTTGTTCTTTTCGTGTTTTTCTATATTGGTTTATCAATGAATGCACTTACATTTGCACTTGTTGGTGTAATTGTGTTGTTTACAATACCAAAAATTTATCAAGTATATCAAGTAAGAATATTTATTTCTTTATTTTTTGTTTGAATATTGTTGAAATTTTACTTTTTTAGGTACCAATTGATCGTACTGCTAAACAAGTTCTTAATCAAATAAATCAACTTCTAGCAAAGTAAGTTTAGATAAGAAATAATTTTTATAATAATTTTCTTTTTCAAACTTTTTAGATTAACAACAAAATTACCAACAAAATCCAAGAAAGCTTAAATTAACGATTATGACAAGACATTTCATTTAGGTTTAATAAAACAAGAAAAACGTTTTTTTCATCTCTACTCTCCTAGTCTATTACTTTGTTGATTTCGTTAGGCATGGAATGCACTTTTTTTTTTTGGCTCTTATTTCTTACATTTTATATTCGTTATGTTGTGTTTGCCTGTTTATTTCTCATTGTCAACTTTAGAACACGAAAAAGAAAATATAAACATTATGCAATACATTCTCATCATTGTCTTTATATGTTCATTTGTTTGTATTAACAAAGAAGTAACTTGGGTATTTTTTATTAAACAGCATGTATTATTTATATAAAATTTCCCAAAATGAACTAAAGATCGAGTTCTATTTATCATCGATATGTGAAAACGATGAATGAGATTTTATTTTTAATAATAATCTTTTTTGAATAATTATTTAAGTGAAGTTTTTCTCTCTAATATGTTTTACTATCTGATTGAATGAGTAGAATAATTAGCAATGAACTGAAAAGATCTTTTCTTATTGAGAAAAAATTCATTGTTTGATAAGAAATAAATTATACAGAGTAGTCTATAAATAACTAGACAATAACATAATTCAATATTTTCTCTCTATTTTAATCAATCGGATTGATTTTTTTCTCGGTGATAGAGGACTCTTCAAAGCTTTTATTGATAAGTAAACTTAAATAAATACTGTTTAGAATTAACCATATGAATCTCAATGAAGAAATACAATAGTGATTAAAAGTATTTTCCCGTTCGGTTGAGTTGCAAAGGAATTATGGTTTATGGTAACCCTTCTCACTATGAGTCCTAGAACTCAAGAATGAAAGTAGCTTATGACTCGGCGGTTCTATCAATACAGTCCTTTCGATGCTGTTATTTAGACAATGAATTTCACCGAGTTTCAAAGAACTCATAGAGAGAAGAGCTATCATACATCATCACTCCTTCGTATCTGAAGCAATCGAGATCGGGTCGGTTTCGTTAACCTAAATTTCTAACATAGTACATATGTAAAAAAAATTAGATATATAATCTTAAGAATAGTTGAGATCACAAAGTGGCAAGCCTTTAGCTAAATGCAGATATCTTTATTAAGATCGATGGTGCTAGTTGAAAACAGTATCCATTGCCAGTTTTCTTGTGATTAGAAAACTTTGAAGAGTTGTCTCCTACTGAGAAAAAAATTAGCACAATTGATTAGAGCAGACTGGATATTTTCAGTGTTTTTATCGTCTAGTTATTTATCGCCCGCTCTTAATAATAACTCTCTGTTATCTGTTTGCAGAAGCATAATACTGCAACTATGATCTATATAAAGCTAACACGCTGGCGCACGCTCGCTTCATGTCAATTTCGAGTCCTTAGCGTTAGAACTTACGAGGACGGGATCTGAGTAAAGATGCTCAGTAGCATGTAACAAGACACGTTTGCCGTTACGCGTCCTTTAAAACCCAAATGTAAAACATTTTCAATCGACTGACGTCCGTTTTTGTAGCTTTACATTAGTATAAATATAAAATTGAAAATAGTTTTTTTTTTGTTTTGAATTAATGTTAACATCATGTATTTAAAGGAAGTTTAATAAAGTAATAAAATTTAGAATTCTTAAAGGGTTTTGACACGATCATGGAATTTTATTATAATAATCAGTTTTGATTTATAAAGAATTTCTTTCATGTATTTCAAATAATGAATTGAATTTTATCGATCTCTCTTATTACAACTATATCAGATTGATGGGATAACTATTAGAGAGTTACGGATTCTTTTAGAGGCAGGTTTGGATCCACAAAAACGTGAATATGCGACTCTCAATATTTGGTGTACACAACTTATTCTTGTTTGATCTCATTTTATTTATCAATTAACTGTTTAATTTTCTTTTTTGCTATCATAATACTTTTTAAAACAAAGCGAAGACTTTTCATTTATTAAATATCAAGTGATCAGGAAGTGAACAAAAGGAAATGATTACACGTTGAATATCTTTTTGAGAGTTGCCGATAAATAACTAAAACCTTGATCGTTCACTTGTTCATATACACAGAGAGTGTCAAATATTAGTGAAAAAAGCTCCGGTCTAGATCCACAAAAGCATAGACCCGCAGTTCGATAATAACAGCTCTTCTTACTTTAATTCATCAAAGTCAAATTGATGTCAATTTTAACGTTCTATGCCTAACAAGTTCAATAGTATTTTATGAATAAATCAAGTCTACTGCCATCTAGTATATCAAATGACTCCTGCATCTTTTCAAATATCGATGAGTTTGATCAAGTCGTGTTTTTTAGAAATGTAATGAATATGAATTCTAAAGTCAAGTCAAGTTAACATGATTTAAAAGTAAACAAATTCATTCGATACTTGAGATATTTTTTTAAACAATAAGTCTTTTCATATTGTGAAAATTGAGTTGAAAAATTTTTAAATATTTTGTTTATTTTAAATCAATTATAGACTACGGTAATATTATAAATAAATAAAAACCAAGAATAACAAAACTAAATATATATTAGCAGTTTTATGTTATCTAAAGGTCAAAGTTTTTTTTTATACAAGTAATAAAGATGCACTTGTGAAATTTTATATCATATTTAGAGCATTGGTAATGGAAGGAAAACATCGATAGTCTTACATCATTTTAACCTTTATTGAGTTATCATAATATTTAAAATTTACAAATAAACTTAATATTAGTTTTTAGAATAAATTGAACGCAGATAGCACAGTGGGCAATTTCTATAGAGCATATGGATATCACTTATTTCATGTTAAAAGCGGGTTTTTTTTCAGAGAAATACTATTTTCTACTTCTCAGAAAGCAATTACTGATAAAAAAAGTGAAATCCGAAAACTAATTTTTTTAATGAAAAATCCCTGAAGGGAACCCTTGCCCTAATTTTTTGTCAAAAACATTTTATTTGAAAAGCTAACAAATTACACATCATTCGATGCAGTTTTGTGCGCTGATTTTAAATATGATATTTTTATTGAATAAAAACGGTTCTGGCCCTAGAAAAATGGAAAATACCTGAAAAACTATGTTTTTTTTCGAAAATTTGCTGTAGGTGTTGTAGAGTCCAGAAACATTTATGCTAACTGTGGTGATAGAGGACACATGGGAGAACATTCTGGCAAAGTTTGAATAAATTTCAAATTGGGCGCTGGAGGGCACGCTCATTTTACTAATATAGCGGTTTGGAAAAGCACTGTGGAAAAAGGAAAATTTTTTTCTCAGGAATTATCAGTAGTAATTGAACACTTTCTTTTATTAATCAGTAGCGGACATCATGATGGTTTATAACATATATTGTGCTTGGTTGTCACTTCAGTGGATTCCGTAAAAATTTGAGTTTTGTGTAGATGTCGCTATTTTCAGGCTAATTCTTTTAAAATTAGCTGCTTTCGTTCTACTTAAACTTTGTAACAAAAAATTTTAACGCCATTAAATAGTACATTGTTCGAAGTATATGTAGTACTATTTGAACCTTGCAAAAGTACACTTTCGATTTTTCGCCTAATGTCCACTTGGTTGCCCACTGTGGATAGGGGAAAAATTTGTTCTATCATTAACATTACCTTTTGAAGCTTTGACCAGATCGAATTTTATCAATAGGTAAACATAGCAATAAGTAGTTAGATATTGCCTAGAGATAACACATTACATTGTATATAAGAAAGAATAAAAAGACATCGAGATGTTATTATGCAGACGCACACATGGACCTTCTTTTCTTTCTTTCTTTCTTTCTTTCTCGTTAGATTATCGCGCATTTATTTTTATATACATACCCTAGAAAGTCACTCTAATCGTTCATAAATTTGTAAATAGCATTAATTTTTCGACTTTGTTTTATATTTAAACAAAAAGAAAAACGAATTTTTGATATAAAAGATTTTTTTCTTTAATCTTATTCATCGAATTTTTGCTATTTACTTCTTTAACATATTATATGAACATTTGACCTATTTATTTTTGTTCATATGTCTTATCTAATTTTTCGATCGAAATATATTTGTAGAATATACTTGTTCACATTTAAGTCTACATACGTATATAAAAGAGAAACTTGTGAATTACATATTATAATTATAGATTAAATTTATTTTTTCTTGTTGATTTAAACAATGTTTGGTTTTCAAACTCTCGTCTGTCTTCATGATATACCAAGTAAGAAAATTTATTTTTCTTTTTTTAAAATTATTTCTAATTTTGTTTTTCTTGTAATAGTTATCCGTTCATCAACTAATAAACTTCAAGACGTATATACTAAAGCAAAGAATACAAGTCCACTTATTCGACTGCCATGTAATTTAGTCGAAATAGTTGCTGATAAATCACTTAAAATTGCTTCGACGGTTGTTAATCCATTTGTTAAACCATTACGTGGACCTAGTAAATTATCAATTGAAAATTATTTTTATTAATATTTATTTTTAATTATATGATTAGTACGTGTAATTGACAATTTTACCGTTGAAACAATTCATCAGATCGAGGCTAATTATCCTGCTATTCATACGCTTACTAAAGAAGTTAGAAATAGATTGAATGAAAAAACTGAACGTGTTCGTCATGTAATGAACTCTGTCAAAGATACAACAACATCAACTATTCAACATGGCAAAGAAATAGTAAATAATTCATTGAAGTTTATTTTTTTAATTAAATTTTTGTTTTTTATCTAATCATAGGTTTCCAATGTAGCAGCTGCAACAGTAAATATAGTAACAAATGTTGCTGATACTGTATACACATTCTGTGAAACTCATGTACCAGGAAGTAAAGAAAACTAATGAATAAAAATAATTGATTATGTGTTTTGTTTTAAAATTAGAAACAGTACCTGTTCATGGTCATGATTTTGGTGGTCGAACAACACTTTTATGGAATCGTCTTACGTCAAGTGTTGGTTTAAATATTGATCAAGTAATGGAACCAATTCAACGCTTATTGATATGGTATCGAATGTTGATTGTATCTTGTTTATTAAAAATATTACAAAAAAATGATATTGTACTTCATAAAATACAACGAAAACGATTTTTATTTGTATTACCACAACGAATTTTAAGTCTTACGGGTAATATGGTTGAATATATAATTGAACGTATTCGACCAGATGATAAGAGAGAAACAAAAGAACAATCTCAATTGATGCAACAAAAACGACAACAATTCATTAGCCGGTAAATGAAAAACAAAAATATTGACTGAAAATAGTTAAATATTAATTAATTAATTTACTTTTTAATAGACAAACATTAAAACCTGGCGCTTTTGTTATTACACGTCAAACTGCTCGACTTACAAAACAAGGTACAGCAATAACTCGTGATGAAAATGGAAAATCACCAGTAATTGAATCTGTTTCAAATGATGATATTGGCATATTACATGATCGATTGAAACCAACTGATTATGAATTTCTTTATTCTCGAGTACCTGCTGATGTTACATCATCTCTGGATAATCAAGAATTTTTAGCAGAAGATCAACTAATGATTCATACAAAATCTGATTAGTGCTGAATTAGAAAAGCAAGGTTATGTCAACGATGAAGACAATTATAATAACTGAACACATTATCTTTTTTCCTTTTCCTTTAGATATACTAGTAGTTTATTTTCTTTTTTCTTTTATCATTATTTCTTATTATTCTTGTTTTTTGTCCATCTCTTTATTCATGTTGTTATATGGTTATTATCTTCATTCTAGGATCTATGGTTATTGTTTGATAGACAATCTTACTTGTGATCAATGATATTAAATCTTTGTTTAATGCAACACACTAAGAATAAAGAGAAGAGACTTTGGTATAATCTTACAAATAGAATTCATAGTGTAATAATTGAAATGTTGAATTGCAGAATGTGCAAATTATAATATTAATGTAATAGATAGCACATTTAACGATGTATCCTCACATAATAGATTTCCGACTTATTATGGTTTGTTTGGGCTGAAATTTTCACGGATGAATGATTCTAGTGAGAAACATTTTTTGTAACTATTTTACTGTGATATGTCAAACTAGACTGAAATTTCAGCTTAATTATAACCTATTTTATGACCTCTAGAAGAATATCTAAATTTTCGTCATTAAAAGAAATATAAATTAGTACTTTGTGATGGTTTCAAATGAAAGTCAACAATTGTGCATAGTTTTTAATCAAATAGAATTTTAAAAATCCTTTTCGTTCACTTTTTATGAGCATTTTGATAGATATGATGATAAAATAAATATAAAAAAAACATGATCGAACAAAACAAAATCTAGCTTTTCTCAAAATAGAAATCAATTATAAAAAAAATCTGGTCAAACACTAGGTGAATTTCATTTACGACTTTGTAACCAAAATATATAGATTGAATATTAGACTGTGTAGTAGCCATTTAATTTTTCTAACTAAGCATCATAACATTAGAGCTCGAAGGCATATACATATCTATATATATATACAGTGAAAGTCGAAACTTTAGCGCATTTCCCTATGGGAAAAATTCAATTTTGATACTTTTTTCGAGATACTGAATTTTTAAGGAAGGACACTCTTAATTTTTCTTATTATTGATTCGATAGACAAATTCAAACAAAGTGCAAAAAAATAATATCGACAAACAATATTCATACTTTTCATACAGTTAAAGAATTCCTATCGGATATTATTCATACTTCGCACGACAATACAAATGAAAAACTTGAAAAAAGAAAAAAACTGTGTCATTACTTTTGTCGATATATGTATTAAGATAATTTTAAGATATTGTTTAAATGAAAGTTTTTATTTATTTAAATAAATCTAATTATTGTTTGATAAAATTAGTATTTCAACTTTCGATATACTTTAATAAATTATTAAACTAATTCATTTAATACTTTTTATTTCGCTTCTCTGTTCAAATCAAACACACTCATCATTATTACAAGATATGTATGGAATTTCTTTACCTTAACAGGACAATGTAAATCAAAAAAAATCTATTTAAAGTTCATATTTTTCATAACCTGAAATACTTTTTACTATGTTATAATATGATATCAATTACATTTTCATTTATGACAAATAATTCTTGTGATAGTACAAAATATGCATAGCTCAGATGAACAATTTTCTTTTCATGCACTCATGAAGTACTTGACTATCTTGGACAAGAAAATCATGTGATATGAGCACATATTGAAGCCTTCGGACAAGTCCAGATACTTGCATTGCTTAACATTCGTATTCACGCGTATATAAGGATGATCACAAACGAAATCGTAATAGAAAATATTGCGAGCTGCGTTGATCAACAACAAAACTCTGACTTCATCGTAAGCTAGCGATAGTAATATTTCATGGGATTTAATCATTTATCAAAACTATGAGAGCGATATCTGTGATGTATAAAATTAATTGCAATTATATGTTATATGTGCTCTTCATTTTTTTATGTTCTTGAGTTTTATATTCAAAACAATTTGACTCATAATAAAAATTTATAGCTCAAATAAGAAAGTCAGTAAAAGGCAAGTGAAAAGGAGAATTTACATGAGTAACTAGATTAAAACATTCTCAGTGACAAGAAGCATTACTTCATCTTAAACATAAAAGTTTGTATTATTTTATTCCAATTGATTTTTTCAAATGTCCTTATTCGCATCGTTTTCATAAGTTTGGTGTATGAATTGCTTTAAATGTAGGCATAACTCATGCAAGCATTCAAATGCTTTTCAGTGGAAAAAAAAGTCATGTCATATGAACACATCTTGAAGTCTGTACATGTCATGCACACGAAAGGAAAAGTTCAATTTCATTGTGCACAAATTCATGTTATTAATTACAATTCAATAACTTATTGAGATACAAATGGCGAACTTTCATGTCTAGATGAGTCAAGAATATTCAACTTTTCTTTTTACAAAATAAAACACGTCAATTAGTCTCATTTGAAATATCAACTCGATTCAATGGTAGTCAAATCTCTTTCATTGCAACCTCTCAATACTGTAGATATTTTCATATCTAGAAGTATGCAAACATGTTTTTACACGAGATGTGATACTTTTGACATTGCCAAATAATATGAATTTTACAGTAACAGAAAACTGGTCTAAAACTGAATCGCATAGTAGGAATAAAAAAAGAATTTCGATAGAATTTTCTCATTGAGTTCTAATAATTTCTAAAACTTTAGTAATCACGAAATATAATAAAGGATTCTTGCAGAAGATGAGCTCAGTAATAATGTTAATCTAATAAAAAAAGATCGTAGATAAGTTGAAGTTGAATCAAAATTACAAAGAAAATTTCAGAAATGTTTTTTTTTCTATTGACGTAATTTTATTTTGATAATGTTTTTCGTGTTTTTGTGTTACTTTCAAATAAACTATCTTTCTTTTTCCTGTTTTCATATGAACAGTGAAAGTGATTTAAGAGCAGCACATATAAATAACATATTTATTTTGTTATGGGTTCTTAAATGAATCATGAATCAGAATAGAAATTATTACTGTTTTTTAGACATAAAAAACGGCATACTTTCGGTCATACAACTTCCTTTTACTTTGTCATAAAATCTAAATTACGTGAATTTCTAACATATTTCGAGATTCGACATAGTAACGTAACCAAGGGTATGTTAGGCAGGGAGCTACTCTATCACTATAAGAAAGAAAAACGTACTAATCGACATCATAATTGACACTTTATTATGTGAATTTTTCCTCAAATCGTAGAGCATTGCCATACCACCCAGGACTTCTGTTTACGTCCCGAATATAATAGAAAAATGTTGTCGAAAACCATATTGATTCATAACAATTGTATCAATTCGACAGATTTTCTTATGGTATGAAACTTATTTTATATGTCAGGTACACGTATGATTTTACCTTCTGAAAAAACACTTTTATGTACCGTGCATAATTTTTCATGCAATACTTTGACCGACTTTGGCAATAAAAATAGTTTTCTATTATTAAAACTTTTACTATTAATACGTTAGAGTTAATACTTTGTATAAAAATATTGTATAGTAATAAAAAAAAACCGCAAGTACATTTTTCTATCAGAATTGATTAATAGCAAATAGGGACAAGTTTTGAAAAGTATTTTCTTAGCCTATGATTAGTGGATATCGCCAAGTCACGCGAGAGTCCCGAGATTGGAAAAGAGGAGAAGAGTGTATAAGACAATATTTTATAGAGGTAGTGAAAATTTTTTAAAAACTTGTCAATTTGATTAAGTAATAATGAATAACTTTCAATCATTGCGGAAGTGTACACAGACACCTCCGCTTTTTCGTTATTGGTACCAAAGAAAAAAAAGAACTCCAAAATTAGTAATATCGATATAAAGAAGAAAGATTATTTATCAATTATGAACATATAATACTAGCTTTTTTTACCTATTACACCAACCGAGAAACAAAAAAAAAAATATAATTATTTGCGTATTTTATCGAATACTGATTACACAATATGAAAAGGTTTTGTTACGATGGCATTTACTCTTATGAAAAATGCAGCGTAAGTAATAAGTTACTTTGCTAACATTAAATATAATTATTTGCCTGATCTATAAATAACATTGACTGTCTCTTGTTAAAAAAAAGTTTTCTTTCAAACAGTTTTTTTTTTCTTATGTGGTTTTAAGAGTAAAAAGAATATTCATTTATTAAACACATTTATTTGAATAACACGATCAGCTGCTTAAGTTAATAATGAATGAAAAATATTTCTAATTATTTTGTATTTTAAAAGATTTTTATTGAATATATTTCATAATACTATTTTATTGTCATATCAATTTGTTCTTTATAGTTATTATTTACTATTATTATTCTATATATATATATATATGAATTGATAAAGTATCAATAATAATAAAATTTTCTATTTACTCGTATGTTTTTTTTACATTATATAAACTGAGAGCTACTTGATATTTATTAATGATTTTATGTAAAAACTGAGTATATTTCACTTTTAGAGATAAAAGAACAGATCACTTGTACATAAAACAATGACTAATATTCACTGGTACAAATGTTATTAGATATAATGAAATAAGTCATGCAAAAAAAAATGTTTTGAAGTAATTAAAAGAAAAAAAAATCTCGATTAATATTTCTACATATGTTTCATTAATAATTAAAGCTAGTTCTTTATTCCAACTGGTATTTATTCATTATCATTTCGTTGAAGTTGTTCCATAAGATAATCATAAAATTCACGACGTTGATTTTGTTGTTCTTCACTGCTATCATCATCATCAATTTGACGTAAACTTTTATATTTACCTTTAGCTGTTCCTGATGTATTTTTTTTATTTCCACCACCTGTCCTGTTTGGATTGGGACATCTCTTTTTACAAGCTTTAGCTGCTTCTTTAACTGTTTTGCCTTTACCAAACTTTGGATTTCGTTGTGCATGAATACATTGAATTTCACATTTGCTTTGTGAATCAACAACGCTGTGACCACCTTGTCGTTTGCTAAATAAGTTATCATCATCAGATTCACTATCTTCACTACTTTCATCTAAAAAAATAATTGATTGAAATATTATAATAATACAAATGAAAGTTTCTTTTTTCTTAACCTGTTGCAAGAGATCGTTTCATTTGTTCCTCATCATATTTTTCATCAGTAAGATAATTTAAAATTGAACGAAGTTCTAATTCAAGATCATTGTCACCTTCATCATTATCATTTGCTTCTTCACGAAGTGATGGATAACTAGCAACGTAAGCAATGAAAAGCAGAAAAACTAAATAAATACAAAATTAATATACCGAAATCATTGTCATAGTAATAATTTATCGATTAATTTACCTGCAAATGCGATACGCATTGTGTTGTAGTTATGAAAAATAAATGAGAAGAAAAAAAAGAGTTTGAATGTTGTATTGATTGTTTTCGCCTCCTTTTTATAGCTGTCTCCTTTTCTAGCAGATTATTCATATCATTTTCTTCTTTTCTCTTCCGTACTGTTCTGACAGATTTTTTTTTCTTATCCTTTCTCCAATGAGAATGTTACGACGAAATTGGACAAAAAAAGTTAGGAGAGTCTCTTTTATTTACAAGCTATTAAAAGAAACACGATGTTGCTTCTTGATGCTATGGAGGTCGTGTGAGTATTTTGTTTCTAGATACTGATGGATACAAATAAAAAAGTCCTTCATGGACTTGCACGAATATTCAGTTCTGTTGCTTTTTGTTGCTATGAAATTCAGTATGACAAAGCAGGTGCTGAAAGGCAAATCCACCCACATTTCTATATTATTCACCTCACTAAACCCTTAATATAATACTAAGGCATGTGATGAAAACTTTATAATTCTATCTATGATCGACAACTATCAACACCTTGAAGAAATGCGTGTTGATAGTTATAGATAACATATGTTTGAATTTAGTCAGTTTTGTAATGAGAAAACGACCATGATAACAAATAGAACGATAAAAAAGAACAGTATTAATTCTTGATGATTATTTGAAGATCAAAACATATTATTCCTAACACTCAATGAATGAGTTGTTGATTAGATATTTCACCCGAAAAAAATTTTTGTTTAATGTTACTCTTCATCAATTGAATTTAAGTTAAAAAAATTTCTCTACCATCTATTAGAAAAAAAACAATATGGACATAAGTTAATTGTGATTATTTAGTTATTGTGATCATACTTTCTTGTTGTCGTTTAAATTCAATATAAAAATAAATATTTAAAAATACACCAAAAATTTCTCATACATCGTCCAGCTTATATTTGTTAAGATATCAATTAGGTGCATATATGTACATGGCATGCTTCACTAAATTCATTCATTTTGATGTTTTTTTACTCTAAATTTTTCTTGTTCTTGTGATAATGATTCTAAGATGAATGAATACTAAACACAATCGTACATAAGTTAAGTAGTAGATTTCACAAATATGAATTTATTAAATCTACTAATATTTTTGTCGTCTACAAAGTCGTCAGATAATAACTATGGATTATATATTAATAGGGCTAAGTTCATTGTCTAATAATTATCACGTAATAATTTCTTTTTCATTAAAAGTTAGCTCATTTGATCTACACGAATAGAAGTAATACAATTCATTTGTATATGAAGATTACAATATTTGAGACTATCGTTAATGTAAAAAAGAAAACAAAATGTCAATACATTTAATGAAATTATAAGATAATATTTACAGAATTAAAAAAAGTATGTGAACCAATACTATCAGTAAGTTATTATTTTTATCGGATGTATTCTAATGCAAAGTATTATATTATAACTAATTTCATCCTAGTATAAGAACAATACATACCAAATGGGGTTATTAATGTTTGTATGGATATACTTGAACACGGAAGTATGAAATCGGCTATTTCAGTCCCTTGATGAGTTAAAACTTTGTATTGATCATGGTTGGAATTCCAACGATCCTGCTCTATTTCTAAAATCCAGTAACTTTTCTTTTAATTCTCTATATAATTCTTCGAATATATATAAAATCTACATGAATAGTTTTAACTAGTCAATAGTACAACTATTCCTTTATACGTATTTATCAGAACTAGGAATATACAAAATCAAGTTCTTTTGATCACAATAGAAACGTTCTTAGCTTTCGTCATGTGACCTGAGGAAATCTTTTTAAAATTCATACTTCTTGCAGATATAAAAAGTCTATATGAATGATCTTGAATTGATTTTACTTCAAGAGTTAATTTCAACTCATATTAATTTAGGATCTGCAAGACTAGAACTAGTATTTTTAGAACTAATCCTAAAATAATATTCTGCGATTAAGTCTAACTTTTATGAAAAACGATCTAAAACGAGTGTTGTAATATGTACGTAGAAATTCGCACTCCCTATAGACCCATTACAAACATTTTAGCAACGACGTGTTATAGACATAGAAAGGTCATAGGCCATAGCTGACGTTGTTGATATACGACCATAGACCAAATGATAAATAACGCGTCGTTCTAATATATGAACTACTTCCTAATGGCACTCCCGAAAGACTAAGTAAAAGAATGGTGAAGAAATATGTCCCAAAGTAAATAGAATAAAACAATCTTGCTGTGATTATCAACAACAGATTCGTTGTCTCACATTTTTATCCTACTAGGATTGTGATAACAGCTTTTTACATTGACTTTTTAACTCTTTAGTAAGTCCTTTTTTAGTATATAATTATAAATATGACAATGTATAAGCTAATTCTTGATAAAAAAGAATTTTACGAAACCAATTTGAAAAAAAGATGTGAGTTTTGCTTTCGTCAAAATCTGGGTAGTCTTGGAGATACTTACATGAAACACAGTATTGCAAATTTATCATCAAAAAAGACTTCAATACTTGAAGAAAATCATATATTTTATATTTCTTCTTCAATGACGATTAGAGATGCTACATCAATTCCTAGAACATAATGTGCAAGATGATATTTTTCCTTATTAAGAATGTAGTTCATGTAGACTGTTAATATCAAACATGATCAATTTTTATATTCTATTCAAAAGTGTAGTTGAAATTCATGAAATACAAAACAGATCTTTCAGATTTGGCCTAGAATCGATCGAATATTTGCTTTTTCTACCTTTTTCGCCCAACTCCAACTCATTTTGAGATCTGTGTTTTGCGTTAGACAAAAACCTAAGAATAGCGTCGAACAAGGCCTTCAAGCTAATCAGAACTTGCATGCAGAACCGCTTGGAGTGTGGCAATTCTTAATACTTGAAATATTCTAAACTTCGATTAGACATTCAAAGAAATAGTATAAAGGATGTCTCATGAGTTTTGATTCCTTTCAAGTAATACTCCTTTCTTATATATTTTTTCGATAGAATAGGCGCTGATATTTACAGCATGTACACTAGACATCTTGGTCTACTTTACGCTAGAATTTCAGCTTTCTATCCATTATAGTCAGAAAGATATAAGTAGTTTAAAATTCATTGGAATTTTTTAGAATAATGGTTGAACCTAGTGCCCTGCGGTTCCTAACATTACCCGGGAACCGAACCGGAACCGAAAAAGGAACCGATGATTTTACTGTAAAATATAAAATAACAAGTGACTAAGTTAACAGTTCCCGGTATCCACTCCGGTTCTACCCAGTTTTTGTTTTTTACGGCTCTGGTTCTGGTTCCGGGTAAGAGAAACAGAAAAATCTGGTCCTCGGTTCGGTTCTCGGTTCCAAATTTTTGTGGAACCGCAGGGCACTAGTTGGACCAGAATAAATGACTGCGTTTTCTATTTTATTTTCTTATTATCTAGTGCGCTATATTAAAAAAAAACATATCAAAAGATGCAGAGTGGAAAGCTCTACAATCTACATAGTGAATTTTATTTTCATTGTGTACCTTTCGTTTTCAAAAAATGTGCAAACAATTTTTGATGCTGCGAAAAGTGGTCACACATTTTTTGAAAACAAAAGCTACGCAATTAAAATAAACCTCACTATGTAGATTGAAGAGCTGTTCATGCTGCATCTTGTGGCATATCCTGTTTTTTTAATATAACGTATTAGATGATGAGATAATGAAATCCAAAACGTCGTCATTTATTCGGGATCACCCGTTCATTATTTCAAAAAACTCCTATGAATTTTAAGTTATTTGTGTCTCTATGACTATAAGAGATAGAAAGCTGAAATTCTAGCGTAGCGTAGATCTAGACGTCTAATATATATGCTGTGAATATTAGCTCATTCTACCGAACAAACATATAACAAAGAAGTGATGCTTGAAGGGAATCAAAACTTATGAGACACCCTTTATTCCTGTTTACAAAAATACATATCTATCATTGAGAATTGCTGAACTCCAGCGATTCGTCATGCTAATCGTGATTAATTTTGGGTATTCTTTCCAAAACTATTCTTAAGTTTTGTCTAATGCAAAACACAAGTCTTAAAATCAGTTGGAATTAATCGAAAAAAAAACTAAAAAATGTGAATTTTTGAGCAATTCTGAAAATTTTGTTGCATATTCCATGAAATCCGACTATAGCTTCAGATAGAACATAAGAAACTGGTCATCGTTGATATAAAAAATCTACAGAACTTGCATTCTTAATAAGGAAAAAATGTCATCTTTGACATAACATTCTAGAAATATAATTCATTCCTAATAATGATCGAATACAATTGAAAATTTTAATTTGGTACACTATTCACTATCAATTATAATCAACACTATATGAAACAATGCAGATTATAATTTCAAAACGTAGCATTTTCAGACAAAAGTAAGCAACATGTTTAGGCAAACGTTTTTATCGTTCTGTAACGTGAGAGATGTAATGATTGATATTGTTATACCAGTATCAGAGATCTTGAATGAAATGAGCTTAAAGTCTTATTCTTATACATATTTTTTATGGTAGAATAACATATAAATTTAATATATCGATCATTCTTTTTTATTCTATATAATACGTTTGAAAAATAGTCATAGATTATTGAGATCTATGAATTATGTGACCAATTGAAACTAGCAAAAAACAATACATTGTCATCCTTGGATATCATTCTTAGAAGTATGGTAATTAATTATCTGACTTTAGTATTTGATGAATCACAATCAAATATTTTCTTTTTTTTGCTTAACTCTATAGTAAATAATAAAATATTCAAAATACTTTCTAAAAAACGCTTTTGAAATCTTATATTTCTTAATAGAAAAAAAACACTTCATCAAATATTTTTTGTTAACAAGTCCTATTTATATTTTCAATTATAGAATTCTACTGGTTTAACTTAACAAATCTGTTGTTCTTTGAATTAATAGATTAGCTATAAAGGGTGTCTCATAATAACTGATGATAAATTGTTAATAA